ACAAGTTCGATCGAGTCCTTATATAGGGCTCAGTGGTGTTCTCTTCGGACCGGTCACAAGGGTGCCCTCCTGTGAGTCACCAAGGCTATGGCGGTGACTCACCTAGAGTGATGCGTTGTAGGGCTGATGTTGATCTTCTGGAACCTTCAAGATAGCTCTGGAGAGGCGATGGAGTTGTGGCAATGCCAGATTAAAGTTATGGAGGCGGCGAAATGATAACCTCTGTTTGGCTCGATCTGGACCCTTGATTTGTGTTGAGATATAACGGCTGGGATCTACTGGCGGCGCTAGAGTTGAGATGAAACCCTAGCTGCTCAGGCTTCTCTCGTGTGGGCTGGCTGGATACGGGTCTGGCTCAGGTTGCTGGGTCTGGATCAGATCTGTTGGGTTTGAGTCTGGATCGGGTCAGCATGTGTAAATGGGCTCCGGGTTTGGTTGTAACCGGGCATGTGATTTACTTGTATCTTAGGCCTGTGTGCCTTATTTTGTAACCGGGCCTTCGGGTTTTACAAATAATAATATAAAATTATTATATATATAATAACGTATATATATAATCGTCACTCAGACAAAAATGACCGTCGACAATGAGCATGCTCGCAGGTATAGTCATGAACAATATAAATGCATTAATCATACAATCACAAGTAAACATCATGATGTAATTTGGAGCCACATCAGTATGACAAAACTCACACCCTTTAGCTTACGATAAATGTACTCTATATAAGATCTAGATCACACACCATTAACATCTTACCTCTGAATGACACTCACTACCAAGTACTTAGGTTGAAATTTAAGTCACGAAGCATCAATGTCTTACACCCGACTACTTTACTCCTCTAAAGTATTCAGGACGCTTCTAGGTCACGGAGCATCAGAACAACATCCGACTAGCGTTTAACTTTAAGTGCTCTTGCACCGAATTGAATATATCATAATATTCCTCATATAACTAGGCTATTATCATACACAACAGTAACTTGGGTATCATTATCGTTTCTTGAGTGTCAAACAAATGTATAAGTCTTATGGAATCTTACCTCATAATGTTGTTATGTTTATCAGACAATTATTCAATGTTTTCACTTGTAAGCTTTTATTAGTAGGTTTCAACGACCCTAAACTCATATCTCGAGTCCCTTGGCAAAACAAGGGCTCTAGCCTTTATTCCACTCAGTAATACTGGTACTTAACCTTAAGGTATCTGTACTGGCCTTAGAGTATCGATACTCACCCTTAGTACATATACCTTGTAACAACCCCAACCCGTATCTGACCTGGATACAGATCCAAAGGTGTCACATTGACTTTTCAAAACATTTATAAAACAAATAGTTGAAAATTTAAACATACATTTAAAATAAAATGGTGGAATCTTTGATCAAAAGTAAATAAACAGGATTTAACTTATATTGAAATTAAAACTCAATAATTTACATAAATATAGTAGAGTATGTTTATAAAAACGATCAAAGCATATGTGATTTAAAACTTTAATTACATGCCAACACATTTAGTACAATAAATGACATACATTGTAAATCACTTCTGATAATTGTCTAATCCTAACTCTGATCTTCCTGCTTCTTTGTACCTACGTATGAAACGCTCACACGCTAAGTCATTGACTTAGTGAGGCATATAATGTATAAATTAACATAATATATGCAATCACAATATTACTTTTATAAACATCATAAACATATAAACTATCATACAATTTAATGGGCAACACATGCAATATCATGTACTATTCTTTCAGGTTATTTCTTTTTATAGCCCATGGTACATTTATGAGAACTTAAGGTATGAGAGTGCATTGAGGTTGTGCACAAATGCTATCACCACAGCTCGTATAAATTGTACCAAAGTGCCACGTAGAAATTGCACCGAAGTGTCACATAGAAATGTCCCGAAGGACCACATAGTATTGTCCCAAATGACCGCGTAGAACCCTCGACTCTTGGCATGTCAATTATACCCTTAGCTCTCATATTACATACTTATGGGCTTTACCTTTTATACCATTTCACATAGCTTATCACATAGGCATGTATTCAGATATATCATTTTCACATAGCTTATATCTTGTTCTCATGTATCCACATAGATCATGTAACACATAGGATAACATATAACACATAATTCATGTATAACAGTGTGTGTAACATATAGACATATGCATGTACTCATGTACATATAGAAACCATATCAATAATATACTTGTAATCATGAAATCATGCAAAAAAAACATTGGAAATAGACTCATCACAAGTCTTATTTTCATATAATCATATTTCATAGTATTATGCACTCACCTTAGCCTCACTAGTAAAAACAACACAATTATAACTCTTGATTGATCTTAGTCATAGAATCGTCCTGAACTTGCCTTCTATCTATATCTACACAATAATTTGATTGGTATAAATATCAAAATTCATATCACTGTACACTTAATTCACAATTTCTATATGAATAGTATCGGTACCCAAGGTACAATACCAATACTTCCTTACTGTGGTATCGATACTATACTTCAATAACGATACCCTTTTTACATACTGGAATTTAGCTCTAAAAATGGTAGTGATACTTAAACATTGGTATCAATACCCCTGGTACCGATGCTACTACTCTAGTATCGATACTCTTTGAAGGATATATCAACTATTACCCTACGGTATCGATAATGTTCATCCAGTATCGATACCCAACCCAGATATCACTTATTTTTGCTCTGGAGTATCGGTACTGTTTATCTAATACCGATACCCCTTGCAATAACTTACCCCTTTAAACCGAAATTTTCCAAAACTTTACTAAATTCCTCACTTTACTCTCCTTTTAAGCCATTAAACTCAACTATACTCACCAAAACCAACTTATCTCACTTTAATACTCTTAAACATCCAAAATCTTACTAGCATATTTGAAATAAAAAATCATAGCAAAAAATCAACTTTGATATAAATCTTTTCTAACCTCTTAAATCTTTTATTCTGCCTAATGACAATTCAAATATGACTTCAAAATCCATTTATAAACTTTCTCTCAACAATTCACTTAAAAACCCTTTTTACTTAATCATTCATAACTTGAAATTCTTTTAGTTTCTACTTCTTTTTAAGTTTCCTTAATCTTTCCTAATGCTTTAAGAATAAAAAAACAACATAAAAATGAAAGGAACAATCATCTTGAGACCAACTAACCATATCAATGGAGTCACGGATAGAGAAGAAGAAGATAGCTACCAAGTCTCTAGATTTTTCTTTCATTTCCTCTCATTCTCCACGTGTATATAATACCTCTACTAATGAATTTTTAATTCATTTTCTTATCAAATGACCATTATACCCTTCCATCATTCCTTCTTTTCTATTCAATCCTACACAATGATATTCAAATTAAGTCCCTGAACTTTTCAGTTTTTTAAAATTAGTCATGAATCTTTAAAATTTTACACTTTGGTCACTAACCCGATTTTTGGGATGTTACATACCTTTTTTGCATTCAATGTTTAGAAGTTCTCACAACTATAGATAATCCCATTCAAAGTATCGATACTATCCTTTTGTGGTATTGATACTCCCGGACGTGTCAGTACTATTTTTGCATTCGGTATTTGGAAAATTCCCCTAAGTATAGATATTATCCTATGGTATTAACAATATTCTAGGGTATCGGTACCAAATTTCGCTGTTGGAATATAAAATTGGACCTTGATATCAATATCACACCTTTATTTTTGATATTGCCCAGTCAAAAACCCTGATTTGTCCTAACTCATGAACGATATTAGTATTGTTCATCCAATAGTAGTACTCCAGCCCAAAATTACTCTATTAACATACGCAAAAACCTCACAATTCTGTTAGTCAAAATGATTAACAGACTTCAAGGGTTAAAATGAATACCCTAAACAACTTCGAGGGCTAAATTAGTGCAAAAAAATAAGGATGAAATTGATAAATTGGATTTACTATAAGGGCAACAGTCTATAAATAATAAACATACAAAATATAAAACATCAATTTACATAGTTTATTACTGATAAAACATCAATTCATATTATTTTTAAACTATTTACTTATATATATTTTAAAAACTCATTAATAATACAATCTCTCTTATAGTAAAATTTATATTCAATTTGATTTTTATATTCTTAATTACGGATGAATATGAGTCAAGTTAAGTCAAATTTTCGACTAACCCAAATCGACCCAAGAAGTTTACATCATCCACTTGACAAAAATTTATAATGTCTTCACCCAAACTGTCTCCTTGACCTAAAACCCAAATCCGGTCAGAAACAAATATATTTATAAAAAATATTAATTTTATTTAATAAAAATAAAAATATAATTGAAAATATAATATAAAGGGAGATATTATTGCAATCATTGCTAAATATATAAGATATAATAACATTATTTTTCAAATCACGTCGAATATTTTTTATCTTAAACCAGAATCTAACCCAAACATATTCTTTAAAAAACCATATCAAACCCAAACCTATTTTTTTTTAAATCCAACCAATTACAATCAAGTTGAAACCCATCAAATTCAGGTATTAGACCCAACTCTAGTATTAATTGACTAATTTTTAATATATTTACCAATTAAAATATTTATATACTTATATAAAACTAAATATGCATAATTTAGATAAATGGAGCACGAATGAACATTATTAAATTAAAGAGTAAAATACACAAATGGTCTATCAACTATAATATATTGTTTTATTGTGTATTAAAAATTACAAAATAATCTTCTGATGATATGTTATTGCTTTGTTGACTCCTTCAACTATTAAAAGTTACAAGATGAACACTCCATTCATATATTTGTAGCTCACCCTTTTTCAGTGATAAAACATCCTACAATCAGAGAACCATTTTGTAACTTTTAATAATCAAGAGATTCAATAAAACACTCTATAATAGAGTGACAATTTATGTACTCTACCCTAAATTAAACATATATAAAGCAAATATAATATAAAATAATAAAAATGTGCGATATATATGCTATCATTCCATGTTCCGATTCAGGAAAAAAACAAAAACATAGGCATAAAAAATAGATATTAAAGGTAAAAGAGAGAGGAGCAAAAAGGAAGCTATCTTTAAAGATGGTCATCCTCCCCAAAGCCTTACTTAGCAACCACTATGAGCTAGCTTTTCACAAGTCCTTACTAAAGCAAGGCCATCAACTAAAGAGAATTAAAGGCCAGCACTCATTTTTGTTAATCGTCGTCCTCATCATCATCATCCACATCTTCGTCGTCGTCATCTTCATCTTTTCCCTATCAATGGACAAAAATATATTAACAAGAAGATAAACAAAATTCCTATTCCTTCTGCAATGAGTAGGGCTCAATGGTAACGATGCAACTCACAACTTATAAAGTACATGCTAGATAACATTAAACAAGCTTGAGAAATTCAAAACAATAAAATTATATATCAATCTAACTTACAAACATGCACAAAAGTGATCTACACATGAAATGTAATGCATCAGCACGAGTATAACAAATGAAATGTTTGTCTGGATTCAAAAGCGGATATGACTTGCAATACAGCCTTATACATAAATGGCAACCTGTATGTATAGTACTCGAACAAGGGTGTAGCTATCATATATAGGTATGCTCATTTTTTTCTAAGCTTTTCAGTGTATTTGGATGATCTTTGTAAGATCGTGTTGCCCGAAGCATATCTGGATATGTGTCAATGTCCGACACAGACACTAAAGATCAAGAGTAACTAGGACCTAGATGCAAATATTCCCTAGAATGGAATGCTCTCGAATCGCCACAATTTCCACCATTGCTATTTCAACCTAATTCCCAATTTTTTCCTCTATACCGCTAAATCAAGTACTTTATTCATCGGTATTCCAGACTAAATATCTTCATCCTGAAACCAGAATGCTGAATTCGGTATAGTTTTAGCGCTAAACCAGTCCAAACTCCAAAGTAATCTAACTGGCATGCACAAGAGGATAAACCCATGAATCCATCCCACTGATTTGGTGGGTAGGAGATGACTTTTGCTCTAAATAGTCTACAAAACACCTCAGATTATCATTAGGCCAAAACAAAATAATACATGTTTATAGAGTCCTCCCACACTAACCTGATTCAACCGGCTTCTCCAGGATTGATATGGTAAATTGTGGCAGGCTAAATATATTTATATAAAGTGACTTCTACATTACTTAGTATAATCAACAAAATCATCATACCAAAAGAAACCTGCATCTAACCACATCCACTACATTATAGATAAGCCCTTTTACTCTAGTTTATAAAGAAAAAACCAGTCATTTCCAACGTAAAATTAAATTCAATAACCAAGTAGCATAACATTATATGAAGAACCGGTTATGAACTATTGAATACCAAAACCATGAGACAAATATAAAGTCCAACGGCTGGTAAAAGCAAATTCATAAAGCAAGCTCTAGCAAACACGCCTCACATAAATGTCACTAATTGCAATCTATATTCCCATTTTGTTATCAAGATCACCAGTTTTGGGTTCTTGATAAACTCATATTTTAACTTCAAAATACTATCTATTAAATATGCTTCTCCCTAACCTATCTATCACAGAAATAGAACAAACTACTTAATATTTGATGAAAAATAAACTAAACAAACGTTAAAACAAAGACCATAAAACCAACAGACATGTAATTTCGATTTAAAAGAGGGGCAAGTTGGGGTGAGACGCAAAGCATGTGCTATTTTTTGAAGAAAAAACTACCTCTTCATCACCATCAAAATCCTCTTCATCAGCCTCCTGCATCAGGAAGTTACAGCTAACAATAAGCAAAGGATGCAAAACATAATTTAAACAGAGTATGTAACAAAATCAGAGAAAGAAGCCAGACGAAAAATAAGTTACATTGTTGAAATAAGTGAGAGGATTGGGCCACAAATCCTCCTTGATAATCTCTGCTACCTGTAACGATTATCAAGTGAATTTTAGACCATCTCATTAAAAAACACAAATACATAACTAAATACAGATTGATAGTATGTGCATATAGAGTTTACCTCATCATGAATTTCATCCATGTCATCTTTCTGCTGAGCATCAGCAAACCAGGTAAAGAAGCTGCGATTATATGCGTAGGTAAATTAGCACATTATAGTCTGAATTGTAGCTTGGCTAAGTGAGAATCTAAGAACCAAATACAAGACTGGCATAAATCGATGCAGACTTTATAACACAGCAAATGACTGGCATGTTAAAGTTCAAATGCAACTTATAAGAAACTAAAAAATTATATATATACATATAAATATATACCATTTATAAGAAAACTAAAAAAGGCTTTCCAAGAAATTAAAATGAACACAAATTTCTTAACTAGACCAAGATAGATAATACAATTGCACGTATAAATGTTAATTTGTCTCTCTTCTATTCAAAATTTTGAGCCGACAAAAATATTTTGGTTTAAAAACTAGCTCTAAATGCTAGGATATCCTCATAACTAATGAATTATTTTAGAATAAAACTAAATTATAAAAAATGTGGCATATATCCTCTTAATTATCAGCCTTTGATGCTTTACAATTCGGAATTTTTACTTAGAAGACTCATCTTCAGTAAAAGGAAACCTCAATCAGTTAAGGTTAGGCACAATAAAACAGGACAATGACTCAAAAATGAGATTCTTATATAACGCTAGGCTTAAATGCAAGACTACATTACAATTTTCAGAACATGATTTTTTTACTGAAGTTCTAAGATACCAAGAGAATTCATTGACAGGTAAGATACACAAACCTTTCTTCAGAAAACTGTCACTTGTTTCCTTTCTTCTCATGATTAACTCCATTGGGCAAGCCCTTGATGTTTAAGGAAAGTGATTTTATATCATAACCAAGTAAGACAGATAAAAAGAAGATGAAGGGACATCATACGCAGAGAAGCCCTCACCATTCCCTCTTTCCACTTGATCTGGGTGGCAGTAATTTTGGTTCCCTCATCAAGGAATGTAAAGGTCTTCGTAAGCTTTGTATCTTCAAAATATGGATTGGGGTTGAAGTTCTGAAAAATTATAATCAAAGTCGATTAAAGCATGAACTAATGTCATTTCTGTACCAGCAATCAAATGCAAGAAAAAGAACGTGTGAACAATTTTAATTGCCTACCAAAAAGTTTAAAAGGAATAACATAAATGAACTTACAAATGTAATATGGTATCCAGATTTCAGATCTTTGAAATCCTCCACTTCAAGTGAGTTAATATGCTTAAATATCTAACAAATAAAAGTAATTGAAAGAAGATAAAAAATCAGGCAAACATCCAGAACAAGAAAATCAAACAACAAATCATTTTGCAAAAGAAATGAAGTGCAGAATTAATTTCAGCTTTGGAAAAAAATGACATTAAACCTTCTGGTCCTCTTCAGTCAAAAGTTCACCAAGAACAGGATGACTCAAGAACTGCATGTCAAGAATGTGTATTAGCTTAAAACCTTCTTCTGTAAGAAAAAATCCCATAAATTAATAGGAAATAGTAGAATCATTTACAGCTGTTAACCAGAAATCAGGAATGGACTTGATTAGTTCACTCCGCTTATCATAGACCGGCTTGCGAACCACATTGTACTTCTGCTCCACTTCCAAGACTTTCTCACTCGCCTCCTCATTGATCTACTTCGCACCACAAAAGGAACAGAAGAAATAAATATAGAAACACCAATGTGTTATCATTTAACACTTCATGAATAAGCTCATAAGTCATATGCGAACATATCAAATTAAATCACCTTCTCCACAATATAATAAAGCAAGATGAACAATTAAACACACAGAAGGCAACAATTAAATGAGTCAATCTTCCTACAATAATTCAGATATATCCAACATCTATACGGCAAGAAACAGACCAGGTATTTAAACTAAAAATCACATGAATAGTATTTTGAACATTTGAAGACACCTAATTTCGTCCCTTTTGATTAATATTATTTTTATAATTTACTTTTGATTAATATTATTTTTATAATATACATTATTGCAAACTATATCATATATTTACATTTTATTTTTATTTTTTTGTGTCAGGCCCAAGATCATATTATACGGGGCCCAACAGAGTGCCCTAGTCTAACCCTAAACATGCACACGAGCTAGGGTTTCCAGCTAGCATTCCAAGCGGCGTTGCATCCATTGCCTTACGAGTCCTCGCTGCTCACGCTGCTCGGTCGAATCCCTTGGTCAAGCATCCAAACGTCACGGCAACAATCCACCGAGTCCACTGCCGGGTTTCTCGCCTCAACATCACCAACACGCCAACAAACACAAGATATCAGTGTTTCATTTGGAATGAAACTCCTAGTTATTTCCATTATAAAAACATGTAACTAGGACACAGAATGGGGGGAGGGACACGATTACACAGAGAGTTTACACAATGTAACCAGAGATTGCATACGAGAGAGGCATAAAAAATACAAAGAAGCAAGAGTAGATGGAGGGTTTGTAAACATTTCAAAAACGAAATAAACGTAAAAGGTATTTTTACCTTTTTTCTGATTCGGTTTCTTTGCGTATGCTTTGCTTCGTGCATGTTTTTTTTCTCGAAAGGTGTTCGGCCGATGAGTTTTTAGGGGAGGGCCGAGACTTTGATCTTAGACCTACCCTCCCCCGAGGCATATCTTGTAAAACCGATTTGATTTTCAGTTCGAGGAGGGAAAGAGCTCTTTGAAAATCTATTTTTTTGGTGTGTCACCGCCGATGAATGGCGGCAGGCGAGGCGGTGGCCACCGTGCTCTGGGTTTGCAGCGGTTGTGTTCTTCAAAAATGAAGAACACCTTGAATGATTTCAGAGAAAAGCATGGGGACCGTTTTTTATTCATTTTGGTGTGGGGGAGAAAAATAAAATTTGTTTGTGGAGATTGACTTAAATACTCGGCCCATTAACCCGAGTTGGATCCGCGCGTCAACCCGACCCATCCAAGGGAGATCCGCGTGTTTCTCTTTAAAATAGGGTAAACAACTCTTTTGGTCCCCCGTCGTTTTTAAAGCATAATTTTAACCCCGAATTGAATTTACACCTTAACATTTCTTTGCATTTTGCCCCCTTAATTTTGGTTTTATTTTAATTTGATCCCCTACTATTATTATATATTATATTTTCATTATTATTTTATTCCTTTATATATACATATCTCATATACGTCCTTTTTCTATATATATATATATATTAAATACTATTACAATTTTGATTATTTTATTTTACTATATATATGTGTATATATTTATTTATTTTTATTTTAATTATTTCTTTTATATCTTATGTATATTTCTATTTATTTTTTATATATTTATTATTTTCATTTTTATTCATTATTATTATATTATATTTTTTATTTTTTAGATCTTTTGTCTTTGTTATTATTATATATATATTATTTTATTATTATTATACTACCTACACACCTACCTAGCCCCACATTTGTCTCCATTCACTAATTTTTTTTTCCTCTCCCCCACCTTCGGTGAATTGATGGGAGAGAGTTGTTTAAATGTTGTTATTATATATATTTATATATATATATATATTCTATTTTTATAATACTTTGATGTGAGGTATATATATATATATATATATTTATATTTTTTCTTTTTTTAAACATTACTATATATATACGTATTATTTATTACTATTATTTTAGTTAGTCTTTACTTATGTATATATGTACATATTCTTATATAATTTATTTTTCTATTTTATCTATTGTATATACACATATGTGTTCCTTTTTTTATTTTTATTATAACTATTATCATTCTTTGTATTTGTTTTTATTTTTTTTTACTTCATCCTTATTATTATCATTGTTATTATCATGGACTTTTTATTTATTTTATTTATCTAACATCTTATTTTGATCTTTTAAGAGTACACTTTTAAATTTATCAGAGGTAAGTAATTTAGATCGTTCCTTTATATTTTAATTTAAACTTTCAATTTTTCTTAATTTAAGACAACTGAAAATTACGTAGTACCGAAAGGGCAGTACCTTTCTTGACTGTAACCGACTCTCGAATCCGACACATCTTTGGTAAGACGCAGATCATGTAAGAAATAAGGTATCCGGTCAACCTATTTAGTTTTAAATAAATGATCGGTGACGACTCTAATCCACATTTTTCAAATCGAAACCCAATTTCGAGACCCACCCGAAAGACGGTTACGCCAACATTTATTTCATAGATCCACAATTGAAATTACATCAAATACAATTTTAGACACTTTTAACAATTAGCAAAAAATATAAATACTCAATTCAGATAGGAAACAATTCATGGATTTTCATACAAACCTAAACAAGCAAAAATCAGAGCATATACACACAAGGATATCTAAAATGAAAGTTAAATGCGAATAAAAGAAATGGACCTTTTCAAGCTCGTCTTGAATCTCTTGAAGCTTCTCAATGGAAAGGACGAGTTCTCCATCGATTTGTTCAGATCTCTCTTCTTCTCCTTTCTCAGCAACTTTCATCTTCCCTTTATCAGCCATCATTTTTGTTTTCTTAATCCAAAAAGAAACCTTCTAAAAATTCTAACCCTAAAAAGTTAACCTCTACTCTATCTTTTGACCTCCTCCTCTTTGTGTTCTCTTGCCTCTAAAACCCTAAAATTATTATCTCAGTTGAATCCACAATGATATGAGCGATTAAGAGCGAAAAGTTGGGGGTTTTGGGAGTTATATGTGCTCCGTTAAGGGTATTTTTGGATTTAAAAACCGATCAATCAGAATCTGACAGCTGGAAGATTAGGTATTACAGTCATTTTATCACCATTTCTAAGGGTAAATATGGGAAAGAAAAGTGATTCCGTCTTAATAGTTGGACACGGAATCTTCCTAGTTCTTAAACCATAAATCCATCCTTAAGTTTGGTCAAATTACCCTATGAATCATTTTGTTGGATCTAATTGACCCTTAAATTTAACAAATTTAAACAAATTGACCCCTAAAGTTTTGGAACCAAATTGACCCTGAAATTGAAAACTTCAGTGGAAATGTCCCTTTAATACTTTTATATCATTATCAACTTATTTAGTTTAGGGCCAATCTAATAAAAGATTTCAAGATTCAATTTGATTGAAACGTGTCAAATCCAAAATTTTATTTGATCTAAAGAATATTTAAAAAAAGTTAAGATTAAACTTGTTAAATTTGAGATTTAATAAAAATAATAATTTAATAAAACTTGTGGAGTACACCTATCATTTTATGATTTTTTTAAAAGTAAAATACATAAATGATATTTCGATTATAAAATGTTGTTTATTTAGTTCTATAACTATTAAAAATTATAAATTAATCTTTTAAGACATTATTTTGTTAAGTGTCTAATTGTAAATTATCAGATAATTCAATAAAGTAATATCTTATAATTAGAAAATTATTTTATCTAGAGATTTAATAAAATAATATTTTATAATCATGATCACTTATCTACTTTATCCTAAATATATAAAATATTAATTCAATAGTTTAACATTAAATATAATTCATTAACTTAAATAACTTAAAACTCGACACTCGTAACTAAATAACTTAAAAGTTTTTTAACCAAATTCAAGTGCATCAGATATTCACCCTACCTTTTGTTGCATTATACAAAGTTTCACTTGACGTTTAAGGCTTCTCCTTTTCCCTTGCGAATAAAAGTTACCCGATAGGGTCAAGGACCATCAAATTCCACCCAGAGAAGCGCTGTTGCTGGCAATCGCCACCACCAAAGGGAATGCCAGGCCCAGGTCCCCACCTTATGTATGCCATGAGCTCCGGCATAGCTCTTACCCACCTCACCGGTGGACGTTTCTCCCCTCACCACACCCTCACCTATACTCTCAACGCCTTCTTCGGCCCCGACGTTGGCTCCTTCTCGGAGTGGCTGAGCTCCGTTCTCTTCCTCGACTCTTCACTTCTCTCTTCTTTAGCTGATGCAATCCATCACCCTTTTTATTATGTCTTGATTCTGGGGTTTCCTCTATGCCTTCTCTACTCTTGGGTATCAAGTGTTTTGGTGCAAAGAAATCTTCTTGATTCTGTTTCGGGGGTGAGTTGTGTTTGTTTTAACTTGAATAAGGATTTTTATTTCTTTTTCTTTTCATTTACATTTATTGTGGGAAAATAGAAAAATGGTATTCTTCTGATCTTGGTTTTTGGTAATTGATCTGTTGTTTGAGCTAGAGGTTTGGTAGGCTTTGGTTTTCTTGTTTATGGATTTGGAGAATACTGTTGTTTTGGAACATAATTAAGCTGTTTTGAGCTTTAATATGTAAAGTGTACACAATTAAAGCCAATTGAGTTCTAATTCGAGTGATTTCTAATTCAAATGCTGTTAGATTGATGACAATGGTGATGAATATCAAATGAGTTGTCTGCTTTTGTTTATGAACAAGTTAATTAGCTAAAACTATTTGATTCAGTTGCATCAAACAATTTGTAATGCCAGATCTTGTTATGTGTGTATTTTATTTTTTAGGTGCCACTCTCGAGGATGCAATGCTTCTTGTTGATATCAGCTGGTTCTTTATCACACTTTTTCCTTGACCATTTGTTTGAGGTGAATTTTAGACCACCCTTTTCTTCATGTCATGGGTTTTTTTTATTCTATGTTAAGTGGTAGCAAAACAGTTTGCAAATGCAGATGGAATTTAATGTTTGACGATGGATGATTCTGTTTCGTTTTGTGACCGAAGTGTTGAACTTTATTAGTCCAAATGCTATATGGATGGCTTAATTATGACTCAAGGGCTCATTGGATATGAGGCTGTAAAAGTTATCTTGGTATGGCACAACGGTGTACCTGGTGCTAAGAAAATGTATGTGTGGATTCCATGAGCTAGCATGTCCGATATATCATTAAGATCTCTTAAGAAATTAAAAGTTTGTTTGTTGCTTATTCATGAATTTTGCTTAAATGTGGATTCCTGGATATGGACATCATGGGCGATGTAGGTTAGGGAACAGTTTGGACTTCGTAAGAAGGGTTAGATATGGTTGTTTTACTTGAACATTTTCTTAGCAACTAATGTTTTTATGAGCATGAATCATTCGTTTTCTCGATAGCGTCTTTGAGATGAAATAATGTAATTTCTTTGTTTCTATCCTTTGCCATTGCACCTATATCACATGGTATGATTAAAAGGAGTTGAATACATTGCCGGTTTACTGTGATAGGGATCGTCTGATTTGGTGATGTTAGTAGTCTTATTTAAATAATGTTAAGGGGCCTTTTTATACGACTAGACTGAGTGATATGAGCATACCTTGTTAAAACATTCTCAACTCTGTGATTTCGGGTTACTTATCTGAATTGCAATTTTGAAAAATGAAATACGAGAAGAAAATACTAGCTATTAGGGTATGATTTTCCCTTAATTTTCCCTTATGACTAAGCAGAAACTAGATCTTTTTCAACTAGAAAGTTTCTCCATAATGTTAACAATATGATGCTTGGAAAGACTTATGTTTCATGTCTTTGGTTTAACTACCGTTGAATGTCTTATTTTCTATGTAGCTCTTTTTCTTTGTTTTTGTTGAAGTACCGCGTCCAACACATTTCCAGACATGAGAATGTAGATTATGATACTCGAAGAATGCTCTAGGTACATGGAAAAACTTGAAAGAAAATTGAGCATATTCATGTCAAACACGTAGCTTATCTTTTATTTTCTGGTTACCATCTCTTTTGCTTAATTTTGTAGACCTTATGCAAATATAAATATACAGGAAAACGGTAAATCATCCATGTATACTTGGATATTGAGCACCGGCTGGTGGATAAACCGTGCACCTGTTAACCCGGATGCTGTCATGGTTGTTGGATTCTTGTGCACTTGTTTAATTGGTGGCTTCATTTACATTAACAGGTGCTTATTTCTCAAATTTGATATGTTTGTTTGATCATCTTATTTTCGGCATTGAGTGTGGTCCATGAGGAGCTAATATTATACTGCTATTCTGTTCGCAGAGTGCGGTCGACAAAGTCTACCGGACAACAATCATTTCAATCAATGAAACTTATTATAATCATAGCAAGCCTGTATTGTCTCTGGTGTGCAAGCCAAATATACTGGGCTAACCCTCGTCGGCCTGCAGTTGGTGAAGAAGCTGATCTTGGAGTTCTCGTATTTTTGGCCGCCTACTTCTTCCTTCCCCATGGTCTGTGTATATTGTCCCTGAACTCTAAGGATTTCCGCACCGATCAACTTCCGCTTTAGCTTTATTATCAACATTGAAGCAAACGCTGTAAAACCAGTAAAAGAAAAGTGATAGTAACTGCATTGGTTTTCTTCAAACGTTTTTACTGAATTACTTGTATTTGTGTCCTTGATGGAGGTGAAGTTTTTACTGAAAAGGGTGAAAGTACTACTGTGTAGGAGGGAGAATCCCTTTTGTTATCTGCTAAAAGGTACTGGCTGAAGTTTCCACAGCATTCTATCTTAACATTGTAAAAATGTGATTTAGTTCATAAAGTCAACCCATCCCTTTGCTAAGAAAAAGTGAAGTTGACAGGTTAAATTAACTGATTACAGGGATCAAATCAGTATTTTATGCATAGTATAAGAGGTTAATGAGCAAATTAGAAATATCCAAAAGTGATTGGTTACTTTTAAGATGAAGGATTTTATGTGCTCAAAAAGAAGATTAGGGTTATATGGATAATTGTTTTAAGGGTAAATTGTACGTTTAGTATCTAAACTATTATTTTTGTTTTATTTTAGTACTTAAATTTTATTTTCTTTTAAAATCATACATAATGTTTAATTTATGTTTTATTTTGGTACCCTGTTGTTAGAAATTTAATGGTGATGTTGACGTATAATCATAAGATAATGTCACTTCATCATTGAAAAACAATTAAAAATTTATCGCATCAACAATTCTATTAATTTTTTAACGACGAGATAACAAATTGAAACATAAACTGAACGTTAAGTATGATTTTGGAAAAAGTAAAGTTTGATTATCAAAACGAAACAAAAATAATAGTTTAGGTACTACGTATGTAATTTACCCTTATGTTATTAACAAATACACGAAAATTGAAATAATATATATATATAAAGATGTCTATTATTTTTTATTATTAAAACTAAAATTAAGTGTTTTTAAAAGAAATTACTCATAGTTTTTAATCATCCATATATTTTAGTAATTAAAATATTTTCCTCGTAACTTTAATTTCCACTGCAACTCTGGTAGTAAATAAAAAATTAATAATAACCTTTCATGTTAATAATAAGGATAAAAAACGCTTGAGGGTTGGTGAAAATTTCAACTACTATAGTTTGAAAAAAAATCACTTATTATTTTTTTGAGATTTATTATGATAAATTTACTTTGATTAATTATTTATTGTTTTAATTATTTTAATTTTTAATAAATAATTTATAAAATGCATTGTAGTACATTTAGTCCAATATAAACATATGTTAAATTTAATTATATATATATATATATATCAAAAAATATAATTGTATATATAATTTTAAAATGTCATAAATACTTTATTTCTCTTTTTATATTTCTAATAACATATTATATATATACATATTAAATATTGTATACTTAATGTTAATTAAATTTTATCTATTAATTTCAAAATAAAATTATATTTTAATCAAGTTTTTTAATAGAAGCATCTAGTTTTATTAAAAGAAAAAGACTCAAAATTATAATAAATGTTTACAACAATAAATGTAAACTAAATACATAATTAATATATTTTTCTATAAAACACAAAAAATTAGTCATTTAAGATCATACAATGATACAAATCCAACCAAAATATTTGAACAAAGATAGATACAAATAGATATGACTGCATCAATAAATGAACCATCAAAATAATAAAAACTACTTAAAAACTATCTACAAACTCAATTAATGCAACATCAAATGTTTGAATTATTTTTTCAAGTATTAAGTGGAAGGTTACACTTATTAGACGAGTATGCATAACAGTTGATTTGGTTGTCTTAACTATGAATTTTCATATATATAGTTAACCAAAATATAAGCGGATTGTAAATGAGGAGTGTCGTTCTCTCATTTTTCTTCTCTAGGATTTGGGTAGTTCTTTATATATCAAATCAATTATTTTTTTTTATGATGGCATTAATTTTAATGTTGGTCGTTGATCACGTATTTTCTGTTTCTTTTTAGTTTTTTTGAATTATTCACCTTCTTAGTACGCTTTTTTGTTGTTGTTTGTCCTTTATTTTTATTTTATGTTTTCTCAAGAGTAGATTTAATAATTTCACGACTAATCAAGATGATATTTATTTGCAATCCTGATGATCTTCTCTGCTCTGTACCCTAATGTTGAATTTGGATAAGTGATTTTGTATTATTGGATAGTTTCGCACGATGCTCGGCTCTGATATACAGTTCAATGTGGTCTTTAAATAACTTAATCTTCTTTTATGGTTCGTTTGCTGATGCAGTCAGATTTGTTCGTATATATTTTTCGTTCGAGTCTTTTGGTTGAAGTTTTTTAACATTTTCCATGTATAGTCATTGACTACTTGTATGATCTAAAGTGATTAATTTTTTTTGTCAATATTATAAGAAAATTTGGTTGTAAATCTTTATTGTAATTTAGATATTTTTATATTTTAACAGGACTAGCGAATTTTATTAGAATATATATATATGGTTAAAAACATCAAAATATAACCAACAAAGGTTGGTTGAAGTGGTAAACAACTTGATATTGCATAAGCAAAGTCTCAAGTTTGAATCCTTATGTATGCAGAAAATCTCTGTTGGGAGACTCACACTAACCCACTAAAGTCAGGTATACGACGTGGATCAGTTCGGATTAGTCAATATGAAACCTTAAAATCGGGAGGGCAAGTAAAAAACCATCAAAATATAAGTGGATGGTTAAATTCATATGAATAAGTTGATAATACTCTTCACAATTTTAAAGTAATGACTATTAAGAATGAAATGTTCATTTAGTATTTTTGAAGTCTAACATTAAGATAGAATCCGTTTTAATTTCGGTCAATATCAATGTATTTACAATCAAACCCTTAATAATTTATTTATCCAAATTGAAATCCAACAATACCCACACACAAGCTTGTGATGATTTCTCTAAGGGTGCATTTGGATGGGAGATTGTGAGATTATCAGGGAAATTTTTTTCTCGAATATGATTCCCCCGTTTGGATTGCAAAGATTCTCAATCCCCGATAATAAGTTATTTTCAAAAGTGGCATTTTGGGGGCTTATTATCAGGAATGTGATTCCCCCTAATCTCTTAGATATTGTTACATTCCCGGTGTTTTTTACTAAAATACCATTAACATAATTTTTGTCTCAAAAATATCATTCTTATGTCGTTGAATAAATTTTTTTTACAAAGGTTAAGGGTGTGTTTGTTTGCCGTAATTGGAATTACGGAATTGGTTTTCCCCGAATTTCCGTGTTTGTTTCACGTAATTCGTTTTTCGAAAAATATTTTCCCGTGTTTGTTTCACGTAATTCGTTTTCGGGAATATGTTTTCCCGTGTTTGTTTCACGTAATTGGTTTTTCGGAATGTAATTCATTTTCCTAGTAACAGAATTTCCTTTGTATTTTCTGTAAAATGACTTACGGATTTATTTTCCGTAAGTCATTTTCCGAACTTTTCACTTCAAATAATAAATACTCAAAATAATTTTATTTTATGAATTTAATATTAATAAAATATTTTAATATAATTTTCATCAAAATATTATTTATTTATTTATTAATATTTATAATAATATAATATTATATTTTTAATATTATATAAAATAATCAATTATATTATAATAATATAAGATATTATATTTTTATTTTAATAATATATAATAATTTTTTTTTATATTTAATAATGAATAATATTATTTAAATATTTAAATAATATTGTAATAAAGATATTTAAAATATACTAATTAATATTTTTAAAATATAATATAACAATATTACTTTAATAAATAATTTATATAATTTATAATATTTTATTTCACTAAAATATACAAAAAATAATATTTTTATTAATAAAATTATAAAACTAATATTTAATAATAAATAAATTATTTTAATATTTTAAAATAATAATATTAAGTTTTATGATAAATAATATTATTTATTATATTTAATAATTATAATAAATAATTTTTAAAAAACTCTTCAACTATTGGAAAAATGTTTAAATAACATCTTCCAAACATCATAAAACGTTTTCCAGATGTTTTTCAGAAAAATGTAATTTATTTTACGTAAAACATTTTCCGGAAAACGTTTTCCAGAAATGTAATTCATTTTCCAGAATTCAAATTCCAGTAATTCATTTTCCAGTTCCAGTAATTCAAATTTCAGTAATTCATTTTCTGGAAAACCAATTACAGCCAAACAAACATACTCTAAATTACAAATTTATCCTTAAACTATTTTAGATTTACAATAAAATCTATAATTAGAATTTTATATGAAGTTCAGGGGTTAAAACAAAATTAAACCCTTTCATTTATCTTTTAAATTTTGTAAAAAAATTATATAAATTTTATGAATTTAAATTTTTTAAAGAAAATATATAAATTAAAAATAGTAAAATTATATATTTTCTATGATCTTTTATACAAATAATTTTATTTGAATATTTACAATTCAACTTGTTAAAAAAACCGATATATAATAAAGACAATTTGGTAAAATATATATTCCAATAATCTTTTATTCCTTTAAGCAAACACTGTAATCTTACATTCCTGTTAAATGAACCAAACACAACAATGCAATATTCCCAATAATGTGTTAGGTAATGTTATATTTCGGTAATTCTATTCCTGAAGATAATGTTACATTCCATGAACCAAACACACCCTAAGGTTACTCTACCTATTTGAATGTAATCCGAATCACCCTTAATTATCTGAATGACATTATCTTGCTATTCTAAATTATATACACATACACATATATACAATTTGTATTACATTGCATTTGTTGTAATTGCGGGCATAACAAACGTTATTGTGATGACTGCAAGTATCATGATCATGTTATAATATTAGACGTCACCGCTATTGTTATATAGCAGACGCTATTACAGTAGCAAAACGCTATGTAAATCCCTGCTTTTTGATCTACAAGGCAGAGAAATCAGGCTCCACGGGCTTAAACATTTTGGGCATTTTTAACATGGAATCATCATGGCCAAGCCGTGACATCATCCTCTGTGATCCTTTCCTAGTGTTTTTAGCAAATTTAGAAGCCAGTAGGGTGACACCAAGATCAGGTTGTTGGACCTGCTCGTGGGTATCCGGTGATCCAGCCTCGCCGTCATCGTCTTCTGCGATGGCTAATAATCCCTCGCTGCTATTGTCCATGTCGTCGAATAAGTTCTCTTGTTTTGCTAGCTCAATGGCCATCTTTTTCCTCTTGTACCGTCTCCAAGCAGCTTGGATGAAACAAGCTCCCCACGTCCTCCACTGGTGGGAATAGTATATGAATGCGTGTTGCAGTTGCTTGCTATGCATTCGCTTGAATTGCTTCGCCACGTATCTGAGATCCCAGGCGCGGAGGGTGAAGGCCTCGACTTCGGAAATCGACTTCACCGTTCGGGTCGACAATGGAAGGTTTAAGGAGTCGGAATTCGGAACCAAGGCCCATGTCAGCAACTCTTCTCCACAAAAGTCACCAGGGCCCAGTGTTATGGAATTGTAAAACCCTGTCTGATCGCCGTTGATCATCGAACTTTTGACTTTGTCTCGGATGATAAAAAACATCTCGTTCACCGGATCACCTTCACAGATAAGGAACATGTTGTTGGTGTTCAAGGATGAGACGAGGCACATAATGAAGGAATCAAATCTCTTATACCAATAACTCGGCGCCTGCTTTAGACCATACAAAGATTTGTTCAACCTGTAAACCAAGTTATTCTTTTCTTTTTCTTCAAAACCTTCAGGCTGGAGCATATAAATCTATTATTCAAGATTTCTATGAAGAAAAGTTGTTATAACATCTAGCTGCTCTAGATGTAAGTTCAATGTAGCACACATTGCCAAGACTACTCGAACTGTTGTTAGTCGAACCACGGAAAAAAAGATTTCATTGAAATCAATACCTTCTTTTGAGCATATCCTTTGACAACCAGTCTTGCACGATACCTCTCAACATAATCGTCACCATTTCACTTGATTTTGAAGACCCATTTGTTACCAATTGACTTCATTCCTTGTGGTAGTGACACAAGGTCCCATGTATTATTTTTATGAAGGGCTTCAATTTCTTCTTGCATCACCATCATCCACAGTGAAGCATCTGAGATGTTTATTGCCTCCTGGTATGTTGATGGCTCACCGTCATCTGTTAAAAGGCAGTATGCAATATTTCCTTCTATAACATAATATGAGTGCCAATTGGGACGTCTTCTTACACGATCTAATTGACGAGTTATTGGAACTTCAGAACTCTCTGGTTCTTGTTCATATGTGTTGGTTCTGCTTCAGAAAAATCTTATTGTTCAACCTTCTTTTTCCACATGTATCTGTGTAGTCTCTGACTTTTCAGTACTATCATCTTCTTCTTTTCTTTGTAGTTTATCTTCTACAAAGATAACATCCCTGCTGATGATCACTTTGCGAGCAGTGAGATCCCACAAACGATACCCCTTTACTCCATCAGCATACCCCAAGAATTTGCATTTCCTGGATTTTGGATCAAACTTTAAAATTTCTTGGGAGTTGTACATCACGTACATAATACTTCCAAATACATAGAGGTTTGAATAATCAGCTGGTTTTCCAGTCCACATCTCCATTGGTGTCTTCAGCTCTATTGCAATTGATGGAGCTCGATTCACCAAATAACAGGTTGTATTGAATATTTCTGCCCAAAATGATTTTTCTAGGCATGCAGCCCTCAACATTATTGTTGTTCTTTCTAACAAGGTTCTGTTCATCCGCTCTGCTACTCCATTTTATTGAGGAGTGTTTGCCACTGTGAACTGTCTTTTTATGCATTCTTTCCTGCAAAAGTCATCAAATTTTTCACTTGTGTATTCTCATCCATTATCTGTTTTGTAACACTTGATCTTATTTCCATAATCAAGTTCCACCCACGCTTTGAAGTTTTTGAAAGTTGAAAACACATCTAACTTCTTCTTAATAGGGTACACCCAACATCTCCTAGAGTAGTCATCAATAAATGAGACAAAGTATTTTAGTCCACCTAGGGATGTAACTGGTGCTTGTCATATGTCAGAATGAACCAATTCTAGAACACTTTTGCCTTTAGAATTTGACGTGTTGAATTTCAACCAGTGCTTCTTACTTGTTATGCAATGCTCACACAAAGTAAATGATACATTTGTTAAGTCTGGAAGTAGCTTTTGCTCCACAAGGACTTTCATTCATTGTTCTGACATGTGTCCAAGTTTCTGATGCCATAGCATTGCAGAATCTGAACTACATGAGGCAACAGAGGCTTCTCCTTCTAGCAGAGTCTCTCCCTTCAGCATGTACAAGTTTGCTGCTATTTTTTCGCCTTTCATCACCACAATCGCTCCACGGAACACCTTCATGATTCCTTTCCGTGTTTCAATCTTACTTGCATTATTATCCAATAATTCGTAGGATAATAAATTTTTCTTCAGGCTTTTCACGTGCCGCACATCTCGAACAACTTTAATTGTTCCATCATAAATCTTCAATTTGATGGTTCCCACTCCAATGATATCTAAGGCATGATCATTGCAACTATACACAGATCCTCCTAAGACAGGTTCATAATGATGGAACCATTATCTTCTTGAGGTCATGTGATATGTTGCTCCTGAATCAATGAGCCATATATCTGCAAATATTTTTCTGTCTTCCAAGGTGGTTGACGCTTTACAACATAGAGCATCTCCATTATCTGAACTGTTTGAGGTATTGCCTCATGGATTGGAGTTTTTATTTAGACTCCAACAATCATTTTTCAAGTGATCATTCTTTCCACAGTTGTAGCACTTTAAATTCTATTTGCTTCTCAACTTTGATCTACCATGTTTGTGACTGCTGCTTTGGCCACGTTATGTTGATCTCCCTTGCATCGTTGTCAACGCTTCTGCTTGTTGCAGATTTACTTGTCTGTCTTTCTTGTTCTTGCATCGATTTTCTTCTTATAGAATAGTAACTGCAACGTCATCGAAGACTAGACTTGTGACATTATTGTTTGTCAAGTTGATGATGAGTTGATCATACGAATCAAGTAGACTTTGAAGTAGAAGTTCAACGGGTTCTTATTCTCCTATTGTACATCTTAAGGATGTAAGCTGAGAAAATAAAGTGTTCAGCGTGTTTAAGTGCTCCGTCACTGAAGTAGATTCTGGCATTCGGAGAGTGTACAATTTCCTCTTAAGGAAAATTTTATTGTGCAACGATGTGACATCGTACAGTTTGGTGAGATGATCTCATATCTCCTTAGCTGTCTTCTTCTCATCGATGCTGGACAATACTTCATCTACTAATGTTAGATGAAAGTTTGCCATAGCATTCCCGTCCATTTCGATCCATTTGTTGTCATCTGTGAAATCTACCGATCTTTCACTGATAGTTGCTAGACAAACGTCTTTCCTCAGGATGACCTTCATTTTCAATTTCCACAATGAGAAATTTCTCCCATTGAACTTTTCAATATCAAATTTTGTTGTCATAGCTTCCATTACGGATAGCTCCCACTATTTCACGATCGTGAATAGTTCTCTGGAACCTTCAAATAATGGGTAATACCTTCTTACTTTCTTATGTTATAGGATCCACCTTTTGGTGGTAACCACAAAGACAATAAGTAGATATTACACACTCTAATCTAGCTCTAATACCAATTGTTGCAGAATACGGCTATCGGATAGAGCAAAATCTCAACTGATAATTTGAGAAAATAAAAAAAAGGATAAAGAAGACAAAAATTTTATGTGGAAAACCCCTAAATAATATAGGGTAAAAACCACGGGCAACAGTAGAAGAATTTCACTATAAGAAAATATGAATTACAACTTCTCTCGATCTAACAAGGAGAAAACAATAACAATTCTCTCTTGATAAAAAAGAGAAAAAAACTCTCAAAAAAACTCTTTAAATTCTCTAGTATTGGGAGAAAACTAGAATGATTTGGGATGGTTTTGAAGCTAAATGGGTAGAGTATTTATAGTTGAAGCTTAATGACTAATCTTATAAATATCCAAAATTACAGGGACTAAATGTACAATTACCCCATTACCCAATTTCAACAAATTCTGCACCTAATTCGGTGCCTACCATTTTTTCAACAATGCACTTTCGGTGCAGTCAAACTTTCAACAATATACCACTTGAAGATTTGATTGAAATAATTATATCTTCACACCATTCTTTCTACCTTGTACCTTCATGTTACTTACGTTTCTGACATGCCACAAGAGGATCGACACTGAGTAAATGTATCAACATTTACCACCTTTATCATAAAATCTGTTATGTTGTCTTTGGTATGTCTTTTCTGCATATCTACCGCCCCTTCTTCCACATGTATCTACCGAGTAAGTGGATATCATCGTTAATAAATTATCGGTTGACGGACTAAAATCTAACGTACCAATAATGTAAGAGATCAAAATTATTTTTTAAATTAATAATCAAAATTGGACGGATAAAAAACATCGAGGGCCATCTGTATAGTTTAGCCTTTGCTCTATTTCAACACTTCATTGTCGGTATGTCTACGGATGGGCATGGGTCGGGTTTCGGTCAACCCAACTCGAATTTGATCCAATTTTTTGAGATAAAATCAAAACCCGATCTAATCACATCCCGAAATTATAAAAATTATTATTTTTATTCAATAAAAAAGTGATTTAATTAAAAAATAATATATATAGAGGGTATTATTGTAATTATTTTTAAATATATATGGTAAAATTATATTTTTTGAATCAGATCGAGTCGAATATTTTTACCCTAAATCCGAATAAAACACAATCCAAACTCGATTTTTTTTTAAAAATTTCGACCCGATCTAGCCGGGTTTGGGTTCCATGCCAAAACCTAGGTATTTCTATGAAAGTAGGGTTTTATTACATCCCCCCCCCCCCCAGTTTCAGCTAAGAAAAATGGCAACCGAACTACCAAAACCGGCGACAGAAGAAGTAAAGGTGGATTTGTTCGAAGATGACGATGAGTTTGAAGAATTTGAAATCAATGAAGGTAATTCTTTTCCACTTTTTATCTACTTTTGTATATAAAACAATTTCCGTGGAGGCTGTTGTTAAACATTACTTTTAGGTCTATGTCAAGTAATTATGATAAGATTGATGTCGATTAGCCTGATTCTTTCGTTTTCCTCTATAGTTCTTGAAGTTGAATTATATGAACTTATGACGAACGGCTTCGTTTTGTTAAGCTTATATTGTTCTGGTTGTAATTAGATCGAGTATTTTCCTCAGCAGCTTCAATTTAAGAATAATTAGGGATATTTGCTGCGAGCGATACTTGATGGAGTCACACGGGCCATAGATTCTGTTGCGAATAGAATCTGAAAGATGTGATCAAATGAATCTAACATTGTCAATATTTGCAAAATTGGCTGCAAATCCCCCTTTCTTTTTCCATGTATCCCGGACTTTGTTCCTCTTGGTATTTTGTACGAATAATATACGCTGCCTGGGCTCTTCTCGTTTACTGGTTACTCGAAAAGTACAAAAAGAGACCCCGGCACTAGGTATGATATCAGTGGTCTCAAGCTTTTAGGGAACCGATAGGAATTCCCAATGGTAATACTAGCTCAGAGTCTTATTATGAAATAGCTCAACTGAAAGGAGAGGTGTTAAGGAGCTGCTTCTGCGAAAGAAGTTCTTGCCCTTTTGATCTTATAAAATCCAATTTTTTCCCATCGTTTGCACATCGATACATGCCTGATAGCAGTAAGAGTCTCAACCAAATCGCTTTCGAGTGAGGGTAATTGTCATAGTCAGCCAGCGAGCAATCCCAAGAATGCCAGCTACATAGTCTTTCTTATTTCCATTGCTAGCTGAAACTGAGAAATAGATTAGGAAAAATCTCACGGGGCTGGGGAGAATATCAACCGGTAGGAGTGCTTGTTTATGCAATTGAACTTCTAATTTTTTACTTGGATAATCTAGTTTGAAATCTTGGATAATTCTTGTTGAAAAAAACCTTGCAAAGTAAACTGATTCTTGATTCATCAATCTCTCTCTGCAATCCACATGCTGTTCACTTTCTCTTGTATATAATGGATGGATTATACGTATATCAACTTGTGCTTGGGGTAAAAGTGTGTGCTACGTTTTAGACTAATAATTCTCTTAGCGAGCCCAAGCTGAACTGACCTATTGTCATCTATTTGACTATGACAGTCTTTGCAATTAACAAGATGTGAGATGCCACCTTATTGCAATTTTATCCTCCTATAAGCCTGACTTTAAATTTTTCTAATAATAGAGAAGCATATTTGTTGTCTCTAGTTATGAATGAGAATTAAAATTCTCCTGATTTCAAGAGTTTGTTCCGGTACCAGATCACATTCGATCTATAGCGTTCTGAAACACTGAACGTCTGATGCAAGCAAACTGCAATTGGCTACTTGGTGTTATATTTCTATATGCCACTGGTTACATTTTTGTATGGCATTGATTTCAATACTGTGCTGCTAAGTGCTAACTGATGCACATATTTTAATTATGCATAGTATGCTTTGCCCACCCTATAGGACTCAGGGGACATGATGCTTGTTGTTCCGTCATTACTCTGTGATTTTGAAATGTGTTATCTGTTTCTTTAAATCACCACTTGTTTCCTTTGAATAATGGTGTACTTGGATTATTAAATCTTGCCTCTTGCCACCATAAGCTGTTGAATCTGTGTTTCGATTACCCCGACAATACAAATTTGAAATCTGAACACTTTTTTTTGTGGCAGAGTGGGACAATGAGGAAGAAGGAAAGGACATGACGCAGCAGTGGGAAGATGATTGGGATGATGATGATGTCACCGACGACTTTTCACTGCAACTGAGAAGGGAACTTGAGAAAAATGATGAGATGAAGTGAGTTCGAATCGAATTTCTATCGTCATTTCGTTGTGCTCAGCACACTTGTTTGAAACGGATTTTCCTTTCCTTGCAAAAAGAATGTTTGAACTTAGAACCGTTTTCGTTGAATAGCCTTGGATTGTATGTTTGATCGAAACTCAGAATGCAGAAATTGGTTTCATGGTTATGTTGACATTGATTTAACTGCTCAATGGCCATGAGATTTGTTGATATTAACCTTGGGCATAATGATCCGGATTTGTTTATTCGAATTCATTATTTACTTAATTTAGATGCTAAACTACAATAGGGCCAGTAGGTACAATTGGATCATTAACAGTATTAAGATTGATTTATTTCAGGGTACCAAAATGTCGGCCCATGTCTTGGCCCTTTAAATCTGGATATCTGTATTTTCTGGTTAGAGTATCTGGTTTATAACTTCTTTTAATTTATTTTTTAAAATTATATTATTTTTAAAAATATCCACATAAAAAATATATAAAATTTATAATTTATAATACATAATCTACGCATAAAGTTTATAAGTTCAAATTAGATAAAATTTGTTAAAAAAAATAAAATAAAGAAATACAATTAAATTTAAAATATCTTAAAATTAAAAAAATAATTTAAAATGTTAAAGGTGAAATAATTAAGAAATTAAGAATTTAGGATGTTATGGTGAAATAATTTTAAGAAATTAGAAATTTACAATGTTAGAGTAAAATAATTTGAAAATTATGAATAAAAAATTAATATAAAATAAAAATAAAAAAATATATAAGAAATTGAGTATCCGGTTAAGCATTATTTTATGACTTGGACCCGACCTGGAAACCTGTAAAAAATAGTGGGTTGGGTACCCTACCCAGAACTTTGAGTATGTTCACTATTTAATGTTCACTATTAAAGTTTAGGTCAAGGAGACTCCTCTAGTTTATGGTCAATGCATACCTAAGACTTAATTGGGATTTACATAAAAATCTACAGATTGTCCACCAAGAGTGACGGTGGTAGGATTCAAACTTGATCTTACAAGATTAAATTTTTTAATATCAACCACTTGTGCCAACACTCGTTGTAAAAGCGATTTTATAAGCATTATTAAACACAATACATTTTTCTTGTTGGATTTTGAAAAATACTTTTTCTAAAAAGTATTTTTAAAAATTATAATAAAAAATAAGTCTATTAATTTAAAGTTTTCTATATTACTTTTTAAAAATACTGTAAAATGTTAAAAGATTTAACTTAAACATGATATTAAAAATAAAAAGTAATTTAAATAATAATTAAATAATTTTATATTCAAAGGTTAAAAGTCAAAATTTTAAATTTGATTTGAAAAATATTTTTTTTATTTTCAAAAAATATTATAAATTTATTTTTATTAATTTTAGTACTAAAAGTATTATCGACTCTAAAAGTTTATTTAGAAAATAATGAAGAACTCATAATAAATCTAATCACGATTAATATTTATAATTGCAACCTAACAATTTTTTTATATTACAATTTATTTACTTTAAAAATTAAATTCAAATGGAAATTTTATTTTATCAAATAAAGTTATATCAAATTTACATGAATTAAAAACTTTTATATAGACACAAACCAAACGATCTCAATAGTAAATAAATTGTTATTATTATTTCATATTTTGAGTTCGAGCATGATGTTTACAAGGATGTATAAGACCTCATTATTAAACAATTGATTTTTTTAAAAACATATAATATATTATATTAGTCCGTAACTAATAAAAAAACTCTTATATTTTTCCTTTTTAAAAGAAAATCTTATACAGATGGGTGGATTGGACCTCTGTTTTGAAAATCGGATCGGATCGGTCGGTTCAACCGGTTCAACCGGGAACCGTTGCTTAGTCCGGTTTAATCTAAACCGGTTGAACCTCTATTAGTGAACCGGCCAGAACCGCTGAACCGTTCGAATTGGACCGGCTGAAAACCGAAAAAAACTGGGAAAAACTGGGATTTTTGTTTTTTTTAAAAAAATAAACCAAACAACGTCGTTTGTTAAACGAGCCAAGTCGAACTCGAGTATTGCTGAGCTCGACTCGAACTTGAAAACTTTAAAAGTAAGCTCAACTCAACTCAAACTCACAAGCTAAAAATTATCAAGTTCAACTCAAACTCGAAATATAATATTAAAACTTGAACTCAAAAAAAAATTAGAAACTCGATTGAAGCCTAAAATTCGAGCTTGATTGAAGTGAAAGAATAGTTCACTCAATGCTCACCAAAAGGCTCCATGATTTTGAATGCCAAATTACCTCTATTATTTATAGAAGTTAGTTGTGATGCGCTTCTATGTTTCTTAGCAATGTGAGATTGTTTTGTTCTCATATTTTTACTCTTTAGACTTTTTGTGATGCTCTTTTATGTTTCTTAGCTATGTGGGATTGTTTTACAAAAAAAAAAAAAACCAAACAATATCATTTTGTTATGATTTTTTAACCCCAAATTTATTTTTTAATTATAGTTATATAATTATATTTATTATTTAATATGTTTTACCTTAAATATTATGTTGTAGTTAATTTGAATCATTTTATTTCACTTGATTTTATGGTTTTTAACTTATATATATTATGACTTGCTTTGAATATGTCTTGTGATATAAAAACTTATTTTTTATTAAATATTTTTTGGTATTTTTATTTAATTTTTTAAATAATTATGACGTCGTCCGGTTCTTCCGATCGGTCAGATCAGTTAGACCAATTGAACCAGTAAACCGATAGCATGACCGGTTCACTAATCGGTCCGGTTCTAAAAACCATGGATTGGACCGAACCGATCCATTTCAAAAGTGAGTGGAGCAAGTTTTGGTCAAAATCCAACTCAACACACTAATATTTATGGGTAAATTATAAGTTTAGTATTTAAACTATCAGTTTTAATTTATTTTAGTACGTAACTTTCATTTTTTTCAAAATCATACCTAACATTTAGTTTTTGTTCACTTTAGTATCATTTCGTTAAAAACTTAATGGATAAGCTGACGTGTCATAACTCCGGTGGACAAATAACCAATTCGAATGGTGGACCATAAGAAAATAATGAGTCCACCAACATAGTCTAATTTCACACCCATCGGACGGTGGAAGATGAAGAAATCGAAGAGTACATCGTTGATTTGAACAAATTGAGGCGTTTCTGATGAAACATAGATCGAAATCCAATTTAAGGGTAAAAAGGGTACAAGTTAAAAAGTTTAGACTTCATCGGTCGACGGATGTAATGGCTGACGACAGCATATTTGACGGTTGATGAACTCATCCGTTAAGTTTTTAACAATTATGATTTAAAAAAAATTAAATACTATCAATACCGGTAGTTTAGATAGATAGGTTACCCAATATTTATAGCAAGAAACCCTTGAAAACCCCTTTATTTCCACTCTAGGTGCTTTAACACAGCCCCGCAAAAATGAACATGCCAAGCCACGAAGAGGAGGAGCAGGGCGAGGTGTTTGTCGAAGAATCTGATATAATCAACGAAGTTGATGTCGACGAAGAAGGTTTTCTATCTTTCTGTCTTCAAATACTCTTTTTCTTGTAATTTTCTCTTACTGTTATTTGTATGGTTTATTCAGATCTTCCAGATGCTGAGGATGAAGATGATACTGAAGATATGGAGGATCAAGATGACTCTATTCATATTTTCACTGGCCATACCGGTATTAACAATTTCTTCTCTTTTTTTGTTATTTTTGTCTTTCAGCTCCATTTTTGCTCTTCTGTTCATGACTGGGATTGAAGTAGAACTTTTCTAGGTAGCTTCAAACTTCTTAATTCTATTGTTCGAAACTTGAATTATCTGGATTTTAAGTTTAATTTTGAGGTTCAATATTAGTTCCTCGAAAGAATCATTGCTGTTTGTTGAATTTCAGTTTTCCATTTTGTTTCTCTTGAGAGAAGTTACTTTGCAATTATTTAAAGAAAAAGAAATCCTAGAAGTGTTTACACTGACGGAAATTATTCTATCAATATAGAACCAGTGACTAGAATCTTTAGAAAGGGTTGCCCCATCAGATTATTGTAATTTTTATTTTGTCTCCATTTACATTTTACTGCTTGTAAACACTGGGTTTTCCATTTTCTTTCTCCAGAAAGGCTATGTTTCACAATGGATGAACATCATTAAGAAATTCATCTCTATGTGACTGAAAGAATTTAGAACGGCAGCATAAATTAATGAATTAGCTTCGAAGTTCACCAAAGTTAGTGTGTCGTATCATGTATGTTCTGCGTGCTGAAGAATTATTTTCTATCACGATTTTTCCAGGTGAACTTTATGCAGTTGCTTGTAGCCCAACAGATCCTGTTTTAGTGGCAACTGGGGGTGGAGATGATAAGGGGTTCCTTTGGAAGATAGGTCATGCTGATTGGGCAGCTGAGCTACAAGGTATGGCCATGTTACAATATAACGGTTCATTCTCTTTGTAAAGCATAAGTTCTCCTCTTCATTTCTTATTCTTCTACTAAGCCTCTTGTAAATGCAATGCTTGTGCAGGCCATACTGATTCAGTCTCTAGTTTAGCCTTTAGCCATGATGGACAATTACTTGTAACTGGCAGTTTTGACGGACTTGTTAAAGTTTGGGATACCTCAGGGAATCTCAAAAACACTTTAGAGGGTCCTGGAGCTGGCATTGAGGTAAAACTACATAATACTTAGATGAGGAGTACTCTTAATATTATATGTTTCCATTTAGGGCATAACTAATGATGAACTTGTTGCTTGATAGTGGGTTAAGTGGCACCCAAAAGGACATCTGATCTTAGTAGGATTTGAGGATTGTACTGTTTGGATGTGGAATGCTGATAGTGGGAACTTTCTTAGTGTATTCTCAGGCCATGGTGCCAGTGTGACTTGTGGTGATTTTACCCCTGATGGTACTAGCTTTTAATTCTCTACCATTAGATTATTTGTTTTGTTTTTCTTTTCTTTTTCTTTTTTGCATCTTACTTTCTGTTTACAGGAAATTTATAATACATATATATGTGATTTAACTAGGCAAAACAATATGTACTGGTTCTGAAGATGCTACCTTGAGGATCTGGAATCCAAGAAGTGGTGAAACCATTCATGTTGTACGAGGTATTCATCTGAAATTGCATTTGAAATGTCCTCATCGATATTTCAGACCCAACCTAAATATTATGTTATAAAAGACCATGAGCTTAATTAATCTGAGAAAATACTATCGAAGTTAAGAAGCAAAAGAGATATATAGTTTGACCGCCAATATAGAAGCATTGGAATCTTCAGCTGTCAAAGTTCATGTTTTAGCCTAAAATTCTGCATTCTGCGAGTGTTACAGTCCCTTGTTTGCAATCGAGTATTTATCAGAAAATTATTTGGCTTACTAGGGATTTTCCCTTTTTTTTTCTCTTCCATGAAAACCTATGATGAAATGAGGAAACTCGTCAAGGGAGTTTCCGACCTTAGACTCCTTTAGTGAGAGTCATAAACCTCTTAAGAATTTTCTTAATCTGACTTTTAACTTCTTAGTCGTGTCAATTAGCCTCTTTAAATAGAGGTTACATAGTTTACTTGAAATAAAAGGCTTAAATTAAAAGATAAACAAAATAAAAAGAACTCGCAGTAATAAACAACTTTCTCCTAATAACTCTCATCATCATCTTAATAATAACTATAATAATTGAATCCTAATGATAATAAAACTGATGTCTCCTAAAATAATAACAGATAATAATTTTCCCGTAAAGCAATTAACATAACAGTGAGCCATTATGGAATCCAAAACAGCTAGCTGTTACAGTGGACATATCCTGCAGATAGTGATCATTTCAAGTTCTTCAATTTTTGGGACAAATAGGGCTGTTTCTAATGGTAGCAATTTGCTCAATTTTTACTGCTCTTTACAAGTGCTGACATACAATAAAACATTTTCTACCATGTTCATTCAATTAGAAGTTTCTTTCTCAGGTTTGCAAAAACAACATATAGTACTAAAATGTTTTGGTTTCATATGTTATAAAGTATGGTTAAAAGAGGTTTACAAGCATCCTTGTATGTTGACCTAGTTTTATTTAATTTGTAGTGGAGTTCGTGTTATTTTATTTGCTCTCATTTTCATAGTTTTTAGATTGTAGGTAGTAATTTCTTTTCTCTGTAGGTCATCCGTATCATACTGAAGGACTGACATGCTTGTCTATAAGTTCCGATTCAACTTTGGCTATTACTGGTTCAAGGGATGGCTCTGTTCACATAGTGAATATCACAACTGGGAAGGTATGGGTTCTGATACAGCTTAAGGAAAATGGATGTCCTAGCTCTTAATAAAAGGTCTTTTATAAAGGAATCTATAACCTTATTTTAGCTTCTTAGTTTTTTCCATAATTTCATCTTGAATTTCATAGATTTTTTTTACTTCTTTCCCTGCTCCAATCAAAAGTATAACTTAGTGACGTTATACGATTTAATATTTCCTAATATACTAGCAGAATATAGTTAATAAAACTTTACTGTTAACCAATGAATCAAGTTATGCTTGTGCTTCTGACATTAACATTCTAAATTTTCCGTTGTTATTCATATTTAGTTTTCAAACACGTTAGTTTTAACTGCTTTGGTACACAGCAGCAAAAAAATCTGCACCCCATTTCTTATTCCTTCTTTTGAGAGAGTGGGAGTACCGTGTGATGACTTATTCCTTACCTATCTACTCCTTAACATCGTTTTCACCAGCCATACAGCATATTCCTAATCATTATCTATTCCATTCAATTAACAGAACTGTTCAATACATATTATCCTTCTATTCGATTAACTAAACGTAATGTTAATGTTTCTCTGCACTTTTTATAATAAGCTTGCAAATATTGTCATCAATGCAGGTTGTTAGTTCTTGGGGTTCTCAGACAAGTCCAATTGAAGGCAATGCAGAGTCAATTGAATGCGTTTCATTTGCACCAAAGTATGTATATATATTGCTTTCTCACACAGCTAACCCAATTAGTTTGTTGCTTTTACCAGTCTGAATATGGTTGGTCTTTTTCATCAGATATTTTTTCTCTCAAGGACTTTGGTGAATCCGTGATTTTATGACAAAACAGATAGAAAAAGCTAGTATTTTGGGTTACAACTTAAGAAGTATTTTCCATAGATGACTAAGCTCATTAGTGAGATGATAGAAGTTTTCTCAAATTAGTTTAGCAAGCCCAGCTCGAGGGAGTGCACCCTAAGGTTGCCCTAGTGGGGTTAGGGCAGCTCGGGGATAACTTTGATGATCATATTACCCTATTAGAGTACATTCCATTGCTTTCTTTTTGTATGATTGATGTGGAGTTCTTTCAAAACTGTACATGACAGCTTCCCTTGGGCTGTTTCTGGTGGCATGGATCGAAAGCTTACAATTTGGGATCTACAAAGCTCATCACCACGTTTCATATGTGACCATGAGGTTAGTAGAATCATTTAAATCTGTGTAATAACTTAATAATAAGGGTAAAGTACACAAATGATCTCCCGACTATAGGGCGTTGTTTTGTTGAGTCTCATGACTATTAAAAGTTACAAAATGGTTCCCCGACTATAGGGTCATGTTTTGTTGAGTCCTTCAATTATTAAAAGTTACAATTTGTCATCTGATTATTCATATGTTTCAAACTTGTATTTTTCCATTAAAAAATTGACGGTTGTCTGAGATGGACGTTAATCTATTGACTGGGATATGATAAAATTATATTTTAATAATGTCTTGTTTTCAAGCACTAGTTTGCCAACATAATGTAAACAGAGATTCGATTAACAAAATATAGCTAAATTGATTTTGAGATCAGATTTATCATATACCAGTCAACAAGTTAATATCCATCTCAAAGGGTCGTCAATTATTTAACGGGAAAAAAAAGTTTGGAACATATAAATAGTCGAGTGACAATTTTGTAACTTTTAATAGTCGGAAGACTCAATAAAGCAATGTTCTATAGTTGGAGGTTCATTTTATAATTTTTTATTAGTTAAGGGACTCAACAAAATAACGTCTTCTAGTCGGAGGACCATTTGCATACTTTATCCTAATAATAATTTATCAACATTAATTAGCTTCGTGCTTAAAGTAAGCCTTTACCCTTCTGCAGGAAGGAGTGACATGCTTAGCTTGGCTTGGAGCATCTAAGTTCTTGGCAACAGGGTGTGTTGATGGGAGAATATGCATTTGGAATTGTCTTTCCGGGGAATGCGTCGAAACCTTCAAAGGACATGAACATGCTATCCAGTCTCTCGCCGTATCTTCCAATCTGGAGTTTCTTGTGTCTGTTTCCATGGACGGCGCTGCTCGTGTATTCGAAATCAGGAATTTCCATTGATTAAAAGTAAGCCTGTTGTCTTGACTAGTTACTGTAGTTTACTTTCATTTTTACAGTGTGGAATTGCTTAGAACTGTGTATACTTAAAATACTGTAATTTTTTATAATTTTAAGTCTGATTAAGTTGTGGGCAACAGTAAACATTAACAAAGAATATTTCCTAATTGTAAGCTTCTAAGAGCGTAGTTTTTTTTTAACTATTTAATATGATCTTATGGTAGTATCTGTTCTGTTTTTAGTCTGAATAAAACTCAAGCATATGTTACAGATAATGTTTATCTAAACTAGGATAGCCTATGTAAAACTTGTCTCCCGTTGTCTTGGGACCATTTTTTGGATTATAACTATAAATATTATCAAATTTTGAGTGTTTCGTTTATAATATCAATTCTTTTATTATGTCAATTTTAGTATTAATTTTTAATTATACTATTTCGCTGTTAATGACTTAACGAGACAATTATATGATAGTTGTGCGTCGTGACATTACTAAGGTTGTTGATGTGACTGTCACATCAAAATAACATCGTTTTGATATAGTTATTTTGATGCTCAAAATATCAAAATGACTTCGTTTTGCTTTTACAAAATTATTATAACATTATGCTTGGAAGTTTTTAACTCAAGGCTTTTAGAATCAAAGCTTAAAATTTAATCATTGAACCAACTTAAAATTTTAAATGATAGAATTTTTTGTTAAAAATACATGTTTTAAAATTTTAAATGATAGAATTTAATATTAATATCAAAACGATGTTATTTTGATGTAACAGTCACATCAACAACCTTAGTAATGTCACGACGCACAACTATCATATAATTGTCTCGTTAAGTCATGATAACAATAATAGTCTTTAAAATTTATAAAACTTGTCAATTTAATATCAGATAGTTTATCTGCTTTAATTATTTTATATTAATATTAAATTGACAAGTTTTATAAATTTTAAAGACTATTATTGTTATCATGTTAGACTACATTATTATTTTATCTAATATTAAATGTCACTCGGCCGTTGTTGTTTGGTCGTCTTTAATTAAAGCAGATAAACTATCTGATTTTTTGTCGAGAGAAATCAAAGATTGGGTGGTAATTAATATTGTTTTCCCGGGTTTTTATGCGCTTGAAGAATGTGATTGGGACTTACTCTTTGGCTCGATTCTTTGGTTGATTTGGAATAATCGTAATAAGAGGATCTTTGATTCAGAAAATATTGAGCATGAGATTGTTTTAGAAAGGAGTAGGCGCCTCTAGTTTGAAGCTACCTGTGCTCTTGAATCAGCTTTGTTAATGTTTCAGTCTTCTAATTGGGTGATTAACGTGCATGGTTCATGGTCTCCGTCTCCTCTTAATTGGTGTAAGATTAATACTGATGGTTCCCGTAGAACAGTCAATGAATTTGCTGCTTGTGGGGGTTATTCGGTCCTCAAATGGTGGTTGGATTCTTAGTTTATCAAAAGCGATTGAAATATGCTCTATCGTTGAGGTAGAGCTGTGGGGTGCTCATGAAGGTCTTACTCATGCTTGGAACCTTGGTGTGAGACAAGTGATGTTGGAAGTGGATAGCTTGGAGTTTATTTGTATGGTGCAGTAAAACTCTCATAGAGGCTCGCTCTTTACCCTTCTGGACCGTATTACAGAGCTGCTAAACCGGGAATGGAATGTGACCTTGAGACACATTAACAGGGCTGTTAACCAGGTTGCTGATAAACTAGCGAAGATGGCAGCAACAATAGGTGCTGCTGACATGGTTTTCTCCACGCCACCTTTGGAAATTGCTCCTCTATTGTAGCAAGACTATGTTGTTTCGTGATGTGGAAGTTGTTGTTTAAGATTTAGTTTACACACTTATTTCATCAAAAAAAAAGAGTTTCATTTACTTTCATTTTTAACAATTAAATTAACTAAAAACTATCACTTCTACGTACATTATAATCATCATTTTGGAATTTTTCCTTATAAACTTCTCTCATCATCTAAGAGTTAATTTCATGTGATAGGTCTTCCATTATTCCTAATCCAAAATAATTTTTCTCATAGAATCTAAGGTTTGATTCTAGATTAATTTATTTTAAGAGGGTATATTAATTTAGTTAAATATTATTTTGTTTATTATAATATTAAAATGCAATTTGGATATTCTTATTTGATAAGGAGTAAATTGTTATAATTTAAACCAAAATATGTATGATCATATTTTATTAAATTCACAATGGATAAAATAAATTTTAAATGATTTGTTGCATTATAGAATTTTCAAAACTTAGGTTACCATTTTAGACACACCATGTGCTATGAGTCGGGGTAAGATATTTTTTTTTACATAATCATATATGTCAAAAATTATCATAAAATAGAACAACAATATCCAATTATTATAAATCAAAGAAGCAAGAGAAATAAATACCCTATACATGATTCACTTTAAACTTACCATCATAATTTCATGTTAAAGGAATCATAATACTAAATAGATACGTACAATAATTAAATTAAAAATTCCTTTGAAATTTGACCAACAATATAAAACACCAATCAAATATGTCTCACAAATATTGAACTCATTGAGTTCAATGATATCAAGATAAAACAACTATTCTTAAAGAATATTTCTTTAGGCACCTAAAGTTAATTTAGGGTATAGCTTGGACACTTATTTTTGCATTAAGCCAAAATATAAACATGACACGCGTCACTTAACAATTTCTTTAAAGGTCGTTGTTGTGTAGGCACCTAAAAGTGTAATAGAGAAAACATTAGGCAAGTAAAAGTGTAACGGGAAATACATTATGCACCTATTTTTAATGAAAAATTCTTTAAGCACTTAAAATTAACTCAGGGTGTAATTTGGACACTTATTTTTGCATTAAATATTTTTTTCTTTTCAAAATCATACCTAACATTATGTTTTGGTTTCATTTTAGTCATTCGCTGTTAAAAAAGTAATAAAACTGTTGTCTGCTGCTATGACATTTTCTAAAGAAAGTTCAATGATGATGTGTCATTATCTTATGATGACACAACAATATTACCATTAAAATTTAAACGGTGGTTGATCAAAATAAAACCAAATGTAACACTATGTATGATTTTGAAATAAAACAATAGTTGAGTGACCAAAACAGAATAAAAGTAATAGTTGGGGTACTAAACTTACAGTTTACCCCAAAAAAAGAGAGGGTTGGGGCTTTTTCCGCAAGTTCAGCAGAATCGGAAGGGTGAGCGAAGCTAATGAGTTTCCGTTATCCTTATTTTTATTTGTTTCTCTCTTACAATTAAAACCAAGCAAAGTTGACCAAAATAAAAGATAAAAAGGAATTTAGGGTTTCCTAATCACCCAATTGTTTTCTCAAAATCTGTCCTTTTTTTCACCGGAACCTATGGAATCTGATTCGATCAGCAACGCTTCTTCTCCTTTGGCCTTTAGCTGCAAAGATATCTCCAGGAAGAAGAGAGTAAGGACTTTCTTTTATACTGTTTTTTTTTTATTTTCATTTTCCATTTTTTGTCATTTTAATTTATCTTTTTTTTAAACGTTTTATTTGTGGATTTTTCAGAGGTCTGCGAAATTGAAGCAGTGCAAACTCGATGCTCGACGCGAGCAATGGCTTTCTCAAAGTATGCTAATGGATAGTACTTTTTCTTTTGGTTTCTTTTTGAATTAGGGTTTTTTATGGTTGTTATTTGTTTTCTTTCAATTTTTGATTTTGAGTAGGTGCGGTGAAGAACAAGGTTTGTTGCAAGGAAGGAGCCAAGGATGGCGATTCGAAGCGAACTCAACCGGGTGAAAGGGACCGTTCCTTGGACAGCTTTGAGATGAGGAGAACTGGTGAGGCTAACGGAGAGGGAGAAGATGTATCTGTACAACACGAGAGCGATTCCGAGTCTTCTCCTATGAATAGCCACACTAGCAGCAGCCTGCTGGGAGGAATGGATTCCGGGACAAGCTTCACCAATAGCAGCAGTAGCAGTAGCAGCACGAGTAGTGGTGGATGCTGTTCTGGTAGCATTACAGAAGAAGAAGGCGATGATGGATGCTTAGATGATTGGGAGGCCGTTGCTGATGCACTGGCTGCCGATGATGACAAGCTGGAAACGGATCCAAACAAGAATAACAAGGAAAACTCTTGTTCAGGATCCACCCCTGGGAATGAGCCAAATCCCCTGTTAGGTTCGAATGGGGGAGGAACAGATTTGAGGAGCTCCAAACCTGAGTGTCCAAGAATGGTGCAGAGGGCGACAGGAAGTAGCAGAGCATGGAGGGCTGATGATACTTTTCGTCCACATACGCTTCCTCATTTGTCAAAGCAACGGAGTTTTCCAGCTAGGGACTGGCCTTTTGGACAAGGAGGGGTGTCATGGGTGCGAGGCAGTGCATTTTCGGTTCCATCATCATGCCCCATATGCTATGAGGATTTGGATTTAACAGACTCAAGTTTTTTGCCCTGTTCATGTGGTTTCCGGCTCTGTCTTTTCTGCCACAAGAGGATTCTTGAGGAGGATGGACGTTGTCCTGGTTGCAGGAAGCCATATGAGCATGATCCTGTGGAGGCTGAAGCTAGCGTTCAAGGAAGCAGTCTGAAATTTAGGATGTTGGCTCGATCTTGTAGCATGATTGCAAGGTCTTAGAAGCAGTCTCTGTTATTCTTGAATTATGTATGCTGCATTACTCATTTTTTTGCTCCTACTTTATTGTGTGTTTTGTTAGTAGTAGACTCTGGGAATTGAGCTTATGTTTCTATTGGTTTGGTTCTTATCTGTTTGGTGCATGAGTTGATGTAGAGTACTTATCTTGGATTGTGAATAGATAAGTTGGTATAGAAATTCAATAAAAAAAAGAGTATTATAATAAGTTTTGTGCCTCGCATTGTATCCAACTTCTCTATTAAAGTTCTGAATTTCATTTGATTATGCTTTTAATATCTAGTAAATATGAGTACTCATTTGATTATGCCTCACATTGGCATTAATACGACTGCTTTAATTTCTTTCTGTACCTCGAATCTGTGCTGTTTTCACTTTGAGATGAGACTTGCTTGGGTTTAGATTTTATCTTAGAAAGGCCATTTAAATTGTATTCACATTTGTTTCATATCATTTGCAGAATCTGTGTGCTTTTGGTAATTTGTGCATGCCGTGTTTTTATACAAGAATTACTTTTTCTTTATTTTTCTTTTTTCCCACGCAAAGTGATACATGAATATGGATTATGGACAAATGATAACACTCATTTTTAGTGGGTTGGTCTTACTTTGAGTATACATTTTGCTTGCATTTGGCTAAACTTATTTGAAATCTAAAATTTGAATGTCTAAATGTAATAATCATACTTTTATTTGCCTTTTTTCTTCTTGAAGGGTAGTTTGGAGGATGGTAATTAACCTCTCCATCAATTTTGCATAAAAGTTGCTAATTAGGACTATGAATAGAACTGTCTCTTTAGATAGTTAGATGTGAGATCCCAAGACATTGTTATATGCGTCTTAATTTATACCAGTATCTCTGTTCTGTTGCCATGTTGTCTTTTACTCTTGCACTACTTTGAACCTTTGTAGGCATTCTTCACTGCTAAATAAAGTTTCCACTAATATTGTTTCTGCCTTCTTTTTCAATGGTTTAGAAAATCATCACTTCAAAGGAGAATCCAAATGAATGACTACTACTAGTATGGTAATGGTGTCCTTTATAAGCTGAGGCGTTTTATAATTTTACCGATTGTTGGTATATCATTGTGTTAATGTTTGAGCAAATTGATGATCTTAGTATGCCAGACCTGGATGTTTTGCTAGGTTCACACCTTTTCTCTTTGAAAGATCCAGTGTTGTAAATGTGCTCAATCCAGTCCTAAGACCTACATTGCCAATTACCATTTATGTGAGATTAAGGGATCATTTCTTTAGTAGTTTTCTGAGGCACGTCGAAAGATTTCATATTTATCCATGCCTTTAAGGACTCCTGGAAGGTCATATCTCCGTTCTAATGGCCATATATGCATTGTACTTTCAAGAAAAATGAAGTCGGTGTAAACATAAGATATGTTTGCTTATGTTATTGCTTCAGGTTTAGTTATTATTCAGCTATCATCCTTGACACTTTAAACACAGATTTAACAATATTTGAGATATAATCAGGGGCGGACCTCCATGGAGCTCGGGATATCCCGGACAACCCCTCATCTAAGGGTGGACCTCCATGATGCCTATCCCAAACAACCCTCCACAAGTGCCACCCTTGGGGCTCTTGAAACCCCTAACGAAGGCTCCTGAGTCTACCTTTGGATATAATACGAGGACTTCTATGATATTTTACCGTCCAATGGTTTATTCTTTTAAATGAAAATTCTAATGTGCTCCTTTTATCCATGGATAAAACAGCAATCTAGCTTTTCTTTCAATTTAACCCCTAAATTTTATTTTTATTTATATTAATTTTATTTAATTTAATGAACTTATCTCATTTTAATCCCTTTAGTAATATAACATTAAGATTATGTTATTTCATCAAAAGGGCTAAAAATAGATCAATATTCTAAATTTAAAAATCCATGTCAACAAAAGAATTTGAAGATCAAATTAAAAACGTGCATTATATTTGTGATTTCAATGACTAATGAAACAAATTTACCTACATTCAACAAAAGTTGTATCTCTTCATTTCCCTGCTTTCAGGTCCTAATTAGTTCTTGTCAGCTTCTAATTAGGCCCATGCTAAGTGTATTTTACACAAGTTGTCTTCACCTAATGATCCATTCTAGTATCGGGCACAAAATTTCGACCTCTTTGATGATTGCAGAGGCGACAATAGTAGCTCCGAGGTTGCTAGATCACAACCAGATGGGGGAGCATTCGATGGAGAGGATGGTAGCGGTGATAACAACAATGACGATGATAGTGATGAGGTATGGTTATCATCTCCAAACTTCCTTTTGACGACTCTTCTCCCTTCTTTTTCCTCTGTTTCACCTCTCGTTACGCAGTCTTTCATCAACCGTTTTACATCCGACAGTTTCACGGGCTTGACTAGATACTCCTCCGCCCCTTCCTCTAGGCAGCTGCGGATGAAAACAATGTTCTTTAACAGTCCCTCGAAGTTAATGCAACACAATTATATACCGCACGACAACGACTAGTGAGAAAAACTGAAAAACAAACAACATGATCAAGAAAGCACAGATGCATATCTGAAGTCATCAAGAACAACCGGATAAAACCACATGATTTACATCTTGAAGGCAATCTGGCATGCTAGTAACCCCTGAACACTAATCTTCAAACTGAACTCAACTAATCCCGATCTTTTTTTCCTTTATACTCGAATAAGAGGGAAGTCTAATGATCAAAATATTATTTTGTACACAAGACAAGTGATCTTTCATTGTTATCAAGATTTTGGTTGGCCCGTTTCCCACACAAATCCAAACAAAACATAGAATCTTTTCAGTTTTGTCCCATTACAAAATATCAGACTTGGCTGATCTTATAATGGTTCATATGTTTGGTAAATCTTATCAGTAGCTGCTTCCTTCCTTTCAATTTTCATCCAATGGAATCAAGTAAAGGGATTAGGCTAAAAAATGCCATGGATCACATCATTTTTTCCAGATTTCTTCCAAAGGAATATTAAGCAAAAATAGTGAAATGATTATGAACATATATATTCAAAACAGATTGAATTTTCCGAGGAAATCATCATCAAATAGAAAAATCAACAGCATGGATCAATCATTATACCTATCAATACGAGTGAGGATGTTCTCAGAGGACATGATCACCACTGGAATTTCTCTGAATGCTGATGATCTCTGTTCCAAAAGGTCAAATGAAACATAATCAACAACCAAACTACTAATGGTTTCACCTGATGATCAAATCAATTTATAACTGCAGAAAAAAAATGACCTTGATTTTCTTGAGGAGTTCATATCCAGTCATTTCGGGCATGGAGTAATCAGTCATTATAATATTCACCTTCAAACCCTGTAGCAACATCCATTTTAACAAACACCACACCATCAATCTCCCAAAATTTTATCTAGATCATTTTCTCAGCAACCAAACAGACAGAACAACTCACATTGAAACCCAGAGACCCTTTTTCTCCATCCAAACCAAGACACTGCAAAGCTCTTGCCCCGCTCTCCACAGCCGTCACTGCACTCAAAACAAAGAAACCCCACACAACTTTTGATCCAAAACAAGATGGGGAAATCGAAAACCAACCAGTATATACCTTTACAAGAAGAAATCTTCAGCAACTTTTCAATAACTTTACGATCCACGTAACTATCGTCGACGGCAAGAACATGCAACTCCTGAGAAGACCCAGATGGTAAAACCTCACCAGCAACCTCCATAATCCTTTAGACTGTGTTATGGTTTTGGAAACACTGGTGGGTTTGGGTTTTTCTCAAAGAAAGAAGAAAGAGGTCTTTAAGAAAGAGAGAGGTAAAGGCGAAGATTGTGAAGATCCATCCAATATCGTAGGGTAAGATCTTACCAAATCTTTTAAAGCAGAGAGTGAGGGAGCATTATCTCCCACTCATTCATTGTCCTGTCAAATTCACTGCCACTATTCATTCCCATTTCCCTGTATTAATATCAAAAGTTAATAGTGGTGTTACGTTGTACGTGAAAATCACCATTAATGGAGACAGGGAGACAAATCGTATAAATAAAATTTTAACAGTGGGTTTTAGATTTGGCTTTTGACTCTAAGATATACTCATACTGATACTGAATTACTGATGCTCATACATACAGATAGAGCTAGAGCGTAGAGTTACGTAGGGAGTAGGGTTAGGACTGCAAATGAGACCAGACAGATCGAGAGCTATTCGAGATCGACTCGGTTAAGACTTGATAAATACTCGGATCGAATGAACTCGACTCAAGCTCGATTCGATTTCTTAACGAGCCTAAACGAGCTACTTGATACTCGACTCGAAAAGCTCGTGAGCAGCTCGAAAATATAATATATTAAGATTTTATTTTTTTTAAAAATAAATTATTAATAATATTAATATTTATGTGTTGATCTTTTTTTAAAATATAGTAAGATTTTCATGTATTTAAGGTTCAAGTTCGAGTTTGAGGCTTCAATCTAGTTAAGTTTAAGATTTTTTTTTTATTTTGAGCATTTTCGAGTTGTTCACGAGCTTCAATTCATGATTTCGAGTTCGAGTCGAGCTTAAAAATTTTAAGCTCGCGAGTTTTCAGTCGAGTCGGGCTACATTTTCAGAGTTTTCGAGTAGAGTCGAGCTTAGCGATACTCGAGCTCGACTCGGCTCGTTTACACCCCTAAGTAGGGTTGTAAATAAAATGAGTTAGGTTGTGAGTTATTCGAGATCAATTATATCAAAGCTCGATAAATACTCAACTCGATTAGTTTCGACTCGAGTTCTTAACAAGTCAAAAGGAATTACTTCATACTCTCAAAAAAATAATATATTAAAATTTTATTTTAAAAATAAATTATTAATAATATTAATATTTATGTGTTGATTTTTTTTAAAAAATAAATTATAAAAGTATTTAAGATTCAAGTTTGAATTTGAATTTGAGTTTTAACCGAGTTAAGTTTAAGTTTTTTTATTTCAAGTTTTTTTTAGCTTCAATTCATGATTTCGCGTTCGAGTCGAGTTTGAAAATTTTAGGCTCACGAGTTTTGAGTCGAGTCGAGCTCTATTTTAGAGTTTTTGAGTCGAGTCGAGCTCAGCAATACTCAAGCTTTCAACTCGATTCGGCTCGTTTACAACCCTAGTAGGGAGTTGTTGGATTGAAATTGGTGGATTGAAATTGGCATCGTTACCCTCTCAAAATGGAACCGAAAATAAGAGTGTTTAATCAGTATATTCGTTTAGCAGATCGAATTGAATTATAAAAAAAATATTAATCAAATTCTTTTTTCTTTAATTTTTAATTAAATTGAAGTTATTGGAAAAATTTTAACCAAATGAAACAAAATTCAACCAGTTATCAAATTAACTAAAATCTAATATTCTAAAGTTATATAGTGTATATATATATATATAAATATTTAATATTTATGATTAATCACTTAATTCAATCTGAATTAATCAATAATTAAAATTTAAAAATCATTAATTATCAATTAAATAAACTTAAAATTAACCAATCAATTAATCGAAAAGACTTTAATTCAAATAAAACCAAAATTTTAACCGTCTAGTTGAGAAATAGGAGAAATAAAACTCAGTTAACGATGCATTCATTTTGTCTTTGTGGTTGGTCAGTTTGTGGGGCTTCACTTTTTTCCCACGCCTCATCTCTTTGACGACATGACCTTTTGGTTTTAAAAGAATAAATCAGTAGTCAACACTTTGCTTGACAATATAGTTCAATTACATAAAGGCAATTTGTGTAATCATTCATGTTAACAATTCTTCTATTTTTCTTAAATATTTATTAAGATTTTATAATCGAAAAAAAAACTAATATTTGTGGGGTTCATCGCCACTACTAACCACAACTCGACATTCCTATAGTAATACTTGCGGAACCAACGAATTAGAAGAAACTTTAGACCTCCACCAAAAAATTACGATTCGTTGATGGTGAATCAGGGAGGAGGTTCCTCACCCTCATTAAAGTAGAGGAGACCACAAGGATCGGTCGAATCATCGTCGGAGAATTCATGTAGTCGAAAGACAACTGAAGGGACCGTTCAAGGGTTACACCGATTATACCCCTTTAACACCTCCTTAATTGACGTTCTCCAACATGTTAGAGACTCTGGTTGTTGAAACCACCTCCCCTATGAAAAATGACCCTCGAAGAAGCAATGCTCATTATTGCGAGCACCATAAGCAATGGGAACATAGCATCAAACGATGTGTGTACCTCAAGGGTGTGGTGGAGGAAGTTGTTAGAAAGAGAGCCTTGGACTAGTTCGTGCGGGAAGGGAGCACGAAGATGAAGTTCATGCAGCGTGTGAGGTTAGACTCACTGAGGTGGTCATTGGATGATGACAAGTAAAGCATAAATGATAAACGATTTTTACCCAATTTGATTTTGATTTTTATTTACATCGTACCTTATGGTGTGGTAAACACCTCTAATCAGAGCAACATCGGAGCTCTTGTTCCTCCTTTTAAAAATCAAAATCGCACAAGAGGCACATCATACACCTCTCTCGTCAGTAGTCCCTCGAAAATGTTATATATGGTCATGATGTCATGACTTTGAGTCGTCTCTATTGTGCTGCCGTCATGGGAATGTCTTATCTCAGGTGGATGTGTTGAGTTGTCTATGTATTAATTGACTAGATGGGTTAAGATGCTTCTGTTATCTAAGGAAAACAAAGATGCCTCCACCCTCAGACATCATTGAGATGTTTATATCGGGAGTCGAAATATCTCCACCTTAATCTTACAACTTATGAAAACTACTCAAGGGATTAGACAGCCTCCGCTTTAGCAATAGGAGTGATTCAATTGTGCCTTAACAAGCGTTGAGATTTCCTTTGCCCTAGCGAGAGATGTTTCAATTATTCGCTTCTACTATGGTAAAGATGTCCCAGTCACACATGTAGAATTTTAAAACATAGAGATACCTTCGCTACACTTCTTGTGGGTTGTCATAGACCGAGTTTCCCCATATAAGTTGGACGAGGGCGTCGAGATGCCTTGGATGGTGGGTATGCCTTTGAGATTAATTCTCTACACAGTTGTGGATTACCTGACCAACTGTTACCAGAGAACCGGCCTTTTACATCAGGAAGTGGACCGCTGAAGTTGTTGTTAGATACATTGAACAGTATCAGATTGGAAAAATCAAGCTTTGGTGTCTCTCCACTATGTAGATTATTATGAACAAGCAAAGTAAGTAACCTCAAAATTCGGGGCATATAGGAAACCTTGCCGGAGAAGTTACTGTTGGATATATCAAACTTTTTCAAGTTACTCAACTGTGTCAGAGAATATGGAAGGTGACCTGATAATTGGTTACCATTTAAATATAGATGAGCCAAAGGTTTGCAATTCCCTATCTCTTCTGATATCAATCCAACAACATCGTTCTTGACGAGGCTGAGTACGGAAAGGGAACTTGCCTTGCAAATTGAACCAAAATCGACAACTCTGGAGAGATTTAACTTGTCGAGAACTACTTTCTCGACGGACTACAACCGCAAATCACACGATACACCCTTCCATTTGTGTTTGCATGGGTCCGATGTCATGTTCCAACCCCAACTTTGATCTCTCTCTACATTTACAGCCGCAAGTTGGTCCATGAATCTACCAGGGATTGCTTCACTTGTTCATTTTCTGAATTTGAGACATGGAAGAGCAGAAATACCAAAATGGGAAGTACCCGGATGAGAACTCGGTTCATTTTCAACGACGAGAGAAAGGTTTAGCGGAAAAAAAGTGCAGGAAACATGGTTTTACCAGCTTTATGAAAAGGGTTTGCTTGATAATGAATTGTTGTAGAACAAACCAAAAACATGTTTTGCTTGCCAAATGGCTGGATTTGCCTGGTTTTCTTATGTTCTGGAAAAAACTCAATAATCATTCTAAATTGTCAATGCCGTCTAACTCACAGGCCAGTTCTTCAGGCTCTATACAAACACAAATCTTACAAGTAAAACTGCAAATTTTACATTGCTCTAAAGCCAGAAATCAAATGAATAAATGTATATATGCATATGCATATATGGAATTTCTCAGCTGAAACAAGCTTCGCTTTCGGCCGACATCATGGATATGCATATGCGTGTTCATTTTTCTTGATTAAAATAGAAATTCAATGAACAAATGTTTATTTCAGCATAACGTTAAAACAAATGTCATCGAATACCAAACATATACATATACAAATACAAGACAATGTATTCCCTTAGTACAGGATCTATGGGAAAAGAAGATACAAGCTGGTGTTTGATAAGAATATTTGATTTTTAATGTATCAATAGTTATTGCCATTTTTCCTTTTGGGTCCTAGCATGTTGGAAATCACTAACTTTACTTACCACTTTCTATTTTTATCTATGACTAGGAGAACGACAAAGGGGTTCATCATCGCTTTCACTGAATGTTCAATTCATAGTAGCCATCCAAGGTAAGCTATGGATCTGCATGTCCAGCAATTTCATCATCACTAGATCCGGTTTCTTCATCAGTGATGTCGTCATCAGTCTGGTTGTCACCTATGGATTTCGTCGTGTCTTCCTTCTTTGCGTATCGCTCACAGTACTCTGCTTCCGCACAGACAAAAAAGGACACTAATTAGATCACTCCCAGTAGGAAAGAATACTTGGTTAACAACTGCCCTCTATTCTTACACACTCACAGATAGATGTCTTATAATAAAGCAGTAATCATGAGTTTACGACCAGATCACAAAATTTCCATGTGCCACTCAACGAAAGCAATTCCAAATGGAGGAAAAAGAAGCTAGACCAATTCAGTGTAATCACCTTTTACTTTTTGATCATATTGCTTTCGATCCTTCATCATCAAAGATGCTGCATCCCCATTTAGGGGGTCTGAAGGGTTTGGATAAAGCAAGAGTTGTGGAAGGAAAACTTCGAAAATATTTAATAGATCTGCACCAACAGGAAAATAATTACTTAGTAAATGGGAGACGAAAGGGTGATAATGCAAAGAAAAATGTAAAGGGACAATGTAATGGTGTCGATCAAGAAAATGAAGAAGGTATCCTGCTCATTGGTAAGAAATTACAGTAAACTGATGCTTACCAAACATTGGACTCCATGATTGATTAATTACATCCAAGCATACAGAACCGGACCTGCAATTATTCGAATACAGGGGAAAGAATCGGATTCTGTCAGAATTTTGAACAAGAACCAGCATGGCAAAACCAGAAATATAAAAAAAACTATCATAACTCTTGTCTATTAACAATTAATGCAAGACATCTTAAGTGTTTTTCTTAGCAAAACCATTACAAATTTTATATGGCTGACCATGAAAGCTCGAAGAGACCATTTTTTAATACATTTAACAAATGAAAAAATATACAGCAGAGGTACTCTGCAGTTTGTAAGAGTAAACCCTGAAATTATAAATTCCTCACAGTTCATCAACATTCGGATGGAATATCTTGTTCACAAATCCAATAGAAGGAGATTTGAATGGATAAGCATCTGGAAGCTCAACCCGAATTTTCCAAACTCCACCTTCATAGAGACCTGTAAGCATTGAATTTGATATTAAAGAAGGAAAAGTGGATTCGGAACAAGTACCTGAACTAATGTTAACACACATTTTCGTCCAGGTACAACACTCTCAACAACCCCAATTTAGTGAGATTCAGAAAGCAAACGTTAGAATTTTAGTAGGATTCAAACTCCTAAAAATATGATAGAGTTTTACTAGGATTCAAACTCCTAAAAATAGGATAGAATTTTACTAGGATTCAAACTCCTAAAAATAGGATAGAGTTTTACTATGATTCAAACTCCTAAAAATAAGTTCTACGAGAATTATAAATAGCCATTGTAACTCACTATGTTAACACACGATTTACATACAAAATACAGAGGAAAACACGAAAAATATAAAAGCAAAGCTATTGTAAACGATTCAAAAAGGAAATAAAATGTAGCATCTTTTTTGCTTTTGATTCGATCTCTTACATTTATGTTTTAATTATTATTACTTTATTTATTTAACTTTATTTATACGCATATTTCCCTTGTTACTCATTTTATTTAATTATTTTGTTATTTTTTTCTTTTTTTTTCATGTAATATTTTTTTACATTTTATGCATTTTCTTTTTTACTTTAGTATATATTTTTATTTTTTTAGATTATATATATATATATTATTTTTTTATTATCAGTTTTATTAATTTATATATATATTTACTATTTTATTTATTTATTATATATATATATATATTATTTTTATTATTTTATTTATTTATATATTTCTTCTTCTTTTTCTTTATTTTTTTTATATTTACTTTACTAACTATTTTATCTTTGTTTTCTTTATCTTATCTTTTATTTAATTTGTTTTTTTTCATTTTAATTTTATTTATTTATTCTTACCTTTTTATCTAACATGATTTTTTGATTTACTTAAGGACACACCTTTAAAACTATCTAAGGTAAGTAATTGTAATCGTATTTTTACCTTTTAATTTTAAATTACAATTTTATTAATTTAAGACAACCGGTAAATTAATTAGTACCGAAAGGGCAGTTCAAGGGTACTAATCCTTCCTTGACCGTAACCGACTCCCAAACCCGACACATTTCTGGTAAAAACGCAAATCAGGTAAGATGGTGTCCGACCCAAAATTCGTTTTAAAGTGGTCGGTGGCGACTCCCAACCCAATTATTTCAAGTCGAAGCCCAATTCGGGACCCAACCGAGAGACGGTTACGACAACTTGGCGACTCCACTGGAGACAGGTAAGTGAGTCAGGCCGAAATTAATTTTCGGTTGTCTTTTTATGCAAAAATGGTAAATTTTAATTTTAATTTATTTATTCAATTCCAATTATTTATCTTTGATTATTTTTCAAATAAATAGTTGTACTTACGTTTTTAATGATTTAAGATTGTTCAAAATTCGTCATCTCAAGCTCTATACCCGAGCTCCAAACCCTTTTAAGTGGGGTGAAAGCGACGCCTTCGTGGGAATTTATTCTCCGTATGGGCCTAGCAAGTAACTTTCGAGATTCATATACCTTATGTCTTCGTGTGAATTTATTCTCCGTATGGGCATAAGGGAATGTATCCTCTCGAGTTTAACTTATTCCACATAAGCTTGTAATGGGCTTAGGACTAAGGGTATGGTAAGCCCAATGGGGCACCAGCAAGTAGAACTCAGATACCCTTTTTAGAACCTAAACCGGGAGACTATAGAGAATTAGAGCCTACCCAAAACCTCATTTCAAACCCTAGGCTGCTTTGATATTATTTCCTGTCTTATTTTCTGTTCAAAACATGTGAACTATAATTTATGCGGTTAGGACTGATTCAAAATTAACATGTGGGATAGGGATCATGTCCGGGTAGGAATAATAAGCATGTGGGGGTAGATATCATATGTGGTAGAATTTTTATTTTCATGATTGTTTTGATTATTACATTTACCTTACTAACTCTTTTCATTTTTTCTCTCTTTTATTTTATTTCCATCATCTGCATCATTCAAAAGAGGTGTTGATCCACCTAAAACGTGTTCGTTAAAACATGAATAATCTGCATTAATGGACAAAGGGGTTGTAATACAAGAGGTGATAAAAGAGGGGTCCGACTATGGTCAAAAAAAGACTCATGGGCAAGACGAGAAAAAAGTTACAGACCTCGAGAGTCATTTCAAAGACAACAAGAACAAAATGACAAAACGATAGCTGAATTGGAAGCCATTGTCGACAGATTCAATGAACTTCTGATAATCCCTTTGATGAAGGATTTCAATGATGTTTCCGTTATAAAACAGGTTCAGCAAAGGATGAAAAGCCAGAGATGCAGTCGTTCGATACTTCTGGGAATAAGTACAAAAAACAGCTCGTAACTTGCATGATTTAGCCAGAGAAGCCGGAGCGGTTCGACAGGGTAATCAACCGGTGACAGATGAAGGCAGAAGACTAGTCAACTTGTTTCAGGGTCTAGAGGATTTAGTCCGGATGTACCTTTAAATATGTTTATTGTCTCTTAAAAGATAAAACACTTTTGCCCCAATAAAGATTATTTATAATAACAGACATGTTTTTGGATCAATGCCTCGAACATTTCATGCATTTTTGCATTTTGCATTTACATTTCATTTTTAAGCATTTTCATAAACATGAAATTTCTTCATGGAAAATTCGATGAAGTGATTGTAACCATATGACACCACATGTAAACAAAATTTTAACAATTAAAGAAACAAACTGAAATCACAACGAATGAGCTCGATCAGCTGGTTGTACGACTAAGCCTGCCAAGATGGTATGAGAAAAGAGTCCACATATCCTAAGGGCTACGATGTTAAAGCTATTTGCAGTTGTCACATAGAATGCTCCAAACATTCCTTTGAGAACTATAAGACGCTGAAACGCGAGATCCAAAACCTAATGGATTCAGGGGCACGGACAGCCGAAAAAGGGGGCATTGCATATATCATTTGCACTTAGAGGATTGTTTTGTTTGAACACGTCTTTGATCTTTCATGTTCGCTTAATCTTTTAAACGATTGAATTTTATGCTACTTTCTAAGGTGGAGCAATTGAACAAATTTTAATATTTAGTTCTTCGAATACTAAATGAATTAATGATTCTTTTAATTCTTCAAGAATTATGGATTTTGACATATGGCAAGACTAGACCTTTCTTATCCTATCTCAAACCCCAAAATAAAATACCTTGTTTCTCTACCCAACATAACTCATGGTCATTACCAAAGAGACCAAATTTTGACATTACCTCTCTTTGAAATTTTTTTAACAATGCCTTTATCTTTTTGATACACTCATACCTTTCTTTGAGTTAATAAACTCACACCATTATCTTTTTAGACTCAAAATTGACATTTTTATGCCATTAAAACCCAAGGCATTGAGTTGTTAATTTGAACATGAGCATTCTTCTAAGACACAACTTGGGCCATCTCGCAAGGAGCCTGAACATTGAGACATGTTGGGGGCAAGAAGCAGAAAGAAGAATTCACTCGAAATAATTCTACCATGTATTAATTATACTGTTTTCATGTGAATAAAAATTAATCCTGAAAATCTATCCCCTGGGAATACCTCTTCTGTGAGGACTTCTATGTATGAAATGCTGAACGACTTTCTTTCTTCATCCCTTCACAACAGGAGAAAATATATATCCCTTGTGTCATCTTTTGAGCCTATAGTATTTTTCTTCTGATTCAACCCTAACCAAGGATCACCCTCCACACTGGGGGGCAAGGTGGAAAAAATTTGCTCGCATGAGTGAAGACATTGATTCAGATGAGATACCGAAAGGTGAACCAAATGCCAAGTGCGAAGATTCAATCAGAACAAAAAGAGAAAAAAAACAAAGAGAAAATAAAAAGAGAAAAAAAGGAAAATTGAAGAAAAAAGAAGACAAGTTGCATATGCAAAGATTCTCTCGATTCAAATGACGCATCGAGATTCAAACTATGAGATTGATCCAGCACAATCATTTCCGAATCACAAAACCACTTCACTCGAAGATCATAGAGCATCAAATGAGATCGATCAAGCACAATAATTTCTGAATTACTGAATCACTCCACTCGAAGATCATGGAGCATCAAGAGAGAGACACATACGAGACGATTCAAATTGAGCAAGATATAATCGAAGACATCAGAATGAATTGATCATTGGTTCAATCACCCTTAAACACTTGTTTGAGCCTTTTATCCCTTTCTTTCATAACCATTAATCATGACTTACGTTACGTGCCTTAAAAGTCCATTCTAATCATACATGGATTTCTAAACAGAAAAGACTATTTTCAGATTTCATCCCACCCATCAGGATTAATCTTTATTTGCAAAAAATAGTGTAATTAATGCATAATAGAGAAAAATAACAAAAGGGGGTTCAAGACGTAAATTTCGAATGGCGTCTTGAAACCAAAGGAGGATTCGAGTTGAAAAACTGAAAAGGCGGTTCGAATACAAAAATTGGGCAGCTGAGGCGATCGCACGAATTCCTTGATAAGGCATCGCACAATTCGAGCTTGACCATGAAAGTTGGGAATCGGAGAATACATCCAATAGAGGAGCATGCAAGATACCCCATCAAACCTTTGAGCATCAAATAAACAAAAATGCCAAACCTTTGACCAAACACAATAACCTGAGACATTTTTATCCTTTCCTTACTTAACCATTTCCCAAAAATAGATTTGATCTTGGCACGTGTCAAACGGCTATAATCTATTGAAGGGTTAACAATGTAATTAATTTTTTGATATTCAATGAACTCTAGTTTTATGATTTGTCTCAATTGTAAAACCGTGAAAGGGACAATATTTTCAAAACTTTTGGTTAAATATTTTTCGAAACTCTTTTTTGATATTTTCATAACTTTGAAAATAAAAAAGAAAGAAAAACATTTTTTTTCAAAACAAGACAATCTCTCTAGAGTGGATCTTGGTAAATAACATGTGGCTCTCAAACACAAAACTCATGCTTAGAATCAATGTTGAAGCAAGAAATCAGGAACAATGAGGGCATTTTTGAAGATTCAACATCAAATGTTGAGGCATTTTTTGAGATTCAACATCGAATATTGGAACATCTTTGGAAATTCAACATCCTAATGCAAATTATCAGATCTTTTGAAGGCATTTCCTCCACGTGCAGGAACTAGCAGACAAAAAATGAGATTCTGTCCGATGAATAAAACAAAAACTAATTCATTATGCATGCATTGTAGAGCATCATTTTTTTCACATGCATAATTTTTGCAGCTTTAGAGTCAAATTTCAACTTCAAGACGAAAGATACTCGATTCAAAGCACATTCAAAAATTGATGGTGGTTGCTCAACTTCACAGCGAAGGGGCAACTGTCTGTTGACAAATAACTTTCCAATTTCATTCAGAGTCAATTTCAACTTCACAGCGAAGGATATTGGACTCAAAGCGACACAATTTGCTCGAGAGAAGATTTCAACTTCACGACGAAAGATATCTAGCTCGAAGTCAAACTTCACAATAAAGGGGTCATCCACGGTTTCAACTTCACGGCGAAGGGAATCGTGTCCACCCGCAACATACAATACTTGGATTTCAACTTCACGACGAAGGATATTCAACTCAAGGCTCAACTTCACGACGAAGGATATTCAAGTCAAGGCTCAACTTCACGATGAAGGGGCCATCCACGATTTCAACTCCACGACGGAGGATATCGTACCCACACATCTACGATTTCAACTCCACGACGGAGGATATCGTGTCATTTTGAGGCTCAACTTCACGACGAAGGGGCTTCTCAGTTTTAGAGCCAATTGCAACTTCACAGCGAAGGATATTGGACTCGAGACAACACAAGTTCAACTTCACAGCGAAGGGACGGCTGGTTGTCAACAAACAATTTCTCAGTTCCAGAGCCAATTTTAACTTCATGACGGAGGATATTAGACTCATAACAATACAACTTACTTGGATTTTAACTTCACAACGAAGGATATCCAATTCCTAGCTCAGCTTCACGGCAAAGGGCCCACCCACGGTTTTAACTTCACGACGAAAGGAATCGTACACACAAGCAACATCCATCTTCAGATTGGATTTCGACTTCACGACGGAGGATATCCAACTCAGAGAATGAGTGTCTGTCAACAAACTTTCCAGTTTCGAAGTCAATTTCAACTTCACAGCGAAGGATATTGGAAACAACATACTGGATTTCAACTTCACGACGAATGATATCCAATTCCAAGGCTCAACTTCACAACGAAGGGGCCATCCCCGATTTCAACTTCACGACGAAGGGAATCGTTCTCACCATTGTCTCTCTTGAGACAGTTTCCCTTGAAACAAAATTTTTTCTCTCTTGAGACAATTTCCCTTGAAACACCCTCATTTGAGATTGTTTCTCTTGAAACAAAATTTTACCTCCCTTGAGACAGTTTATCTTGAAACACGAAAAAAAAACCTTTGAAATTATTTCTCTAGAAACACAAAATAACCTTTGAAATTGTTTCTCTTGAAACACAAAAAAAACCTTTGAAAATGTTTCTCTTGAAACTCAAGACCTTCGAGTTTGATTACACTCAGCTTCGAGGGCATATCATTTGCAGCATAGCTCAAGGCAAGAAGTGATATCTGTCAACGAAGATTTATGAGTTCGATTCCGATCCAAGGTCCTTAAACTGAGAAGAAGACCGAAGGGCAACGAGAAGCCACGTGCTGATTCAGATTCAGAACTACAGCTTCAATTTCATATCATTTCAAGATAAACTCGACTTCACGACGGAGAAGTCATCCGCAACTCAATTCGACAAGTAGTTATTGAAACATCAGAGTCAATTTTCAACTCCACCGAACGAAAACCGTGTCTTTTAATCTTTGCCCTATCCCCGTTACACGACTATGGGCAAAGAGGGGCAACTGTTAACACACATTTTCGTCCGGATACAACACTCTCTATGGTAACACACGATTTACATACAAAATACAGTGCAAAACACGGAAAATACAAAAGCAAAGCTATTGTAAACGATTCGAAAAGGAAATAAAAGGTAACATCTTTTTTGCTTTTGATTCGGTCTTTTACATTTATGTTTTAACTATTATTACTTTATTTATTTAACTTTATTTATACGCACATTTCCCTTGTTACTCATTTTATTTAATTGTTTTGTTATTTTTTTTTCATGTAATATTTTTTTACATTTTATGCATTTTCTTTTTTACTTTAGTATATATTTTTATTTTTTTAGATTATATATATATATATATATATTATTTTTTTATTATCAGTTTTATTAATTTATATATATATATATTTACTATTTTTTATTTTATTTATTTATTATATATATATATATATTATTTTTACTAACTATTTTATTTTTACTTTCTTTATCTTATCTTTTATTTAATTTGGTTTTTCTTCATTTTAATTTTATTTATTTATTCTTACATTTTTATCTAACATGGTTTTTTGACTTTCTTAAGGCCACACCTTTAAAACTATCTAAGGTAAATAATTGTGATCGTATTTTTACCTTTTAATTTTAAATTACAGTTTTTTTAATTTAAGACAATCGGTAAATTAATTGGTACCGAAAGGGCAGTTCAAGGGTGCTAATCCTTCCTTGACCGTAACCGACTCCCGAACTCGACACATTTCTGGTAAAAACGCAGATCAGGTAAGATGATGTCGGACCCACCTAAATTCGTTTTAAAGTGGTCGGTGGCGACTCTCAACCCAATTATTTCAAGTCGAAGCCCAATTCGGAGCCCAACCGAGAGACGGTTACGACAACTACCCAACAGAAACAATGGCTATACGCTATAGCATGCATATAAATAATATGCTATGAAGAAAAGTCTCCAAAAACAACGCAGTTTCGAAATCAAAACCCTTCCATAAAACGAAAAAGAAATGAAAAGAGAGGCCATCCGAGAAAGATAGAGCTCTCTCAAGTATATAATATATTTAATCAAATTAACAATGTATTTCCAAATCTATAAGCATATATAACACTATGCAACGGTTCTCTGATGGTCATGCACCTGTTTTCCGTTCGTACTACGGATGCAAGTTTTGGGAATTTGATCACAAAAGTGTTTTGGTTGAATTTGTAATGATAGATATTGTATCCTCTCTTAATAATAATAATAATAATAATAATAATAATAATAATAATAATAATAATGATGATGATAATAACAGGTGACTAGATGAAGTACTTAAGCATATGAATACTATGTCAGATGGATCATACCAAACACACATAATCAGAGAACACAAATTGAACAGATTAGTATAAGCATACTCTCTTTGGGACCATGAAACTTGACGTTGAATTCATTGAGCCCATCATTAATTGTTTCCACATTATAATCACTCATCATCCTGATAAAATGAACAAGGTGAAAAGAAAACTCATCAGAAGTTCAGACTAAAATCCAAACTAGCAGCAATTTCTAAAATCAGTAAAACATCACACAGTGGAAATGGAAAGAGTTCATTGAAATAAAGTAGAACTACCAAGAATTGAAATAATCACTAAGGCAAACAGAAATATAAGTATCACTAGACTTGTTGAAGTGGGAGGGATGCCCAATCAAAATGCAATAAACTCACCACTGAGTAATGGTGAAATCTGAAAAACAGTAACATATTTTTCTGTTCATGGATTTCTTAATTGTGGAAAAGAAACAAAAGCAATAGCACAGACAGTTGAACTTCATAAGTATTGTTTAATGAATATCAGCCATTCAAATTATAACACTATCCTGCCCTACCCACTCCATTCATCAGATTATAAATGTTCCCATTCAAAAAATTCAATTCCAGTTACCATCTTCACTACAAACATCTTCATGATGCTACCCCTGTTAAGGTTACAGTTCAAAACATCCCAACTTCTCTAAATTACTAGTTATGTGATTTATTAAGCTGATCTGGGTGCCTCGGTGAGACAAAAGTACTAGAACCGCTTTAGAAAATTGCAACTAAAAGTGCCCAAAAAGCACCATTGAAAATATTATTTCAGTAAAGGCATTACAATTGCAAGCTATTCTGGACATCGAAATTAGAAAGAGAGATAGAACCATGTGAGCATAAAACAGCACGAATATGCATATGTAAAATATGTAAGAGAAACTTACAACTTCATTACATCCATTTCTCTCCTCTTACTCGGGGAAGACATTTTAAGCCAATACTACAAATCCCAAACTACCTGCAGAATATAGAAAATATAATTTCTTTTTGCAGCTTCTGCGAAACTAAAATTTATGAAATGGAACTTCACATTTTACACACTTCCTAGTCCAATATTATGGTGCACCAAAAATACGCGTTGATGCTGAGATTTTTTATATAAAAAAAACTAGTATAAACATGCAAACAGTGGAAGTATGCGTTTTGAATATTTGACATACCATTACTAATGAAATCCTCTTGTCAAACACAAAGTAATCAAAGTTACACTTAAATGCAATTCTTAAAAAGACAAACGGAATCCTTAGACAAAGATTAGGAAAATAAAATGGCCAAACATTTTTTCCTGTGGCCAATGCTTACGTTTATTTGCCAAGTTCTCAATCTCAATTACAAAGGATAACAAGCTCTAAATTATGACTAATTTAATTCACTGATCCTTAATCCTACTTCTCTTATTGAAGCTAGCCTGAAAATCCTGAAATCAACAAGAAAGCTCAACAAATTGTCATGCAGATCAAAAGATTTAACTCCAACATGAGCAAATAACTTCAGGAAAAAAAAGCACATCAGCTAAACAAAGTTAAATTAAAGCTAAGAGCAAAGAACACTTTTTTGCAAAATGGCCATACAATTTTCCTATCCTTCTAGTATTGATTTTGATTCATAAATCAATATAAAATCCTATAATGCAATATTTCAGTCTCAGAGTTGAAATCAAACAATGCTGAAAACAGGAATTTTCTGATCATTATCATAAAAGGGTATAAAAATGCCTTATTTTATCCAATATTCCACGTTACATTACACATTACAGCATCAATCCTTAGATTGCACATTTGCATTAGAATACTACACATACAAATCTGGACCATCCTCAATAAACTACCCATTACCCTGAGAATGTAGCCCAATCGAAAAAGAGGAAAGAAAAAACATATGAATCCCCGTTTTCTTCCTTAAAGCACTAAAAACAGATACAGGGCATCTTTGAAAGAGAGTAACGAGGCATTAGAAACGCACGCACACACACACAGGCATTTAATTCCTAATAGAATGCAATAAATCTAAGATCCATGGCCGAAAGGGTATCGAGAAATTACAAAAGAAACGACCAACAAATTGTTCCCCGTTTTGATCACATAAAGATAAAACGGAGAAGAAACCCAAGAATGAAACCGTGGTATCTGCAAAGGGTAATCTACCTACAATGAATTCAGGGAGAGATTTCCAATAAACAGAGATTCCCAGAAATGAAGCGAGGAAGGGGAAATAGAGAAAAGGAGAGAGATTTTATATTCTGCATCCAAAATTTCATGCGCGCGCACGTGTTGCGTTTTATGTGGCATCCACCACAATAGTTTCACGTAGCCGTGCAATATTCATCTATATTTTCTGGATTCATTACAAAAATAGTAATTTCAAACAAATACTCTCTTTACTAATTATTATATTTTTTTAAAATTATATTATTTAGGCTTAATGAAAAAATAAGTGTCAAATTATATTATTTGCCCAATGGATCGCAGGGACGGGTGGGAAGAATCGCCTTTGATTTCTAAAATTTTAGAAATTCGCCTCTTAAAATTAGATTATGAGTCTGCCCCTGTTCTCATGTTATGTGTCTAAATATTTTTCGTTCAAAAGTAGGTACCTAATATTTTTGATGTTACTCTTTTAAGTACCTATGTCGTAACAGTCATTAAAAAAATCGTCAACCACTTAAAATGTAACATGTGGAGAGTTTATATATTTTTAAAAATTTTATTTTAAAAAATTAATATTATTATCTTTAAAAAACTCAATTTTTTCCTAAAATCTAAAAAAATATTTCTTAATCTCTAATTCTAAACTCTTAATTTCTATAGTTGGTTATCTTCGATCACTGTCACCATCGTCGAAAGTTCACCCAAATATCGTCGCTCACTCATTGATTGTCGTCCACCTATAATCGGTTATCATCTTTATTATTGCCTCAAATCCTAAATCCCTATAATGAAAATAATTATTAAAATGTGAAAAAAGTTAAGTAACGCCTTTGATGACCACTATATATTTTAGTGAGTCAAGCAACATAAATCATTTAGGTGCGAGTGAAATGGAGCCATTTCAAGGAGATTATGAGGGCATAGTTTTCTTAGATCTTGCAGAATCAGGAAATGTCCATGGTTATATGGGCATAACCATAAGAATCAAATTTTTTAGGGAGGTATTTGTGCGATGTATGTTATCGTTTATATAAATGACAAGACAGTTCAAGGACATCGCGTCTACAAGACAACTAATAAGGTAAATATATTTTCACAAGAAAATGTCAAAGGAAGATGTCCACATATCTTATGCAAAAATCGAACGTAAAATCTATCATTGCATCAAGTCAATGTTTTTGAACTATCAATTGCATTCATGTCGAAGATTGTTGGAAAATAATGATTTAATTGAATGATATTGATGACAATAATAAGTAACGACACTTGATGAGTAAACTTATTATTTTTTTGTTTATAATTATGTCCTTTCAATCATATCTATTAGCTTTTTAACATTTCTCTTCATGAAATGATCTTAACCTTTCAATTCATTTCCTCTCTACTATATAAAGGCGGTTTGAGATACAATTTAGACACAACTTTAGAAAAATGAAAAGACTTACAAAATTTCTTCTAAATTCGTTCTTTTCAATGATAGAAAAAGGCAAGAATTTGTTATTATTGTGAGTCATGGTTTAAGTTGGTCTGGTAACGCTTATATGTGTTATCTTGGTTACATTGACTTATTACCATGAATTTGTTTATCGATCCTTATTTTGAAGAGTTCAGCTAATATTATGGCTAAAGCGTTATATGCTGAATGGTGTGTTTCTGAATCAGAGAGCTGAAAGATTAGCTGGAACTGTAAACTGCGGCACAGCCTCTGTAATTGGAGTGTTTGTGGGCATGTTATGTGGAGGTAGTAAGGAAGCTGCTAGAGAGCTGAAAGATTAGCTGGAACTGTAAACTGCGGCACAGCCTCTGTAATTGGAGTGTTTGTGGGCATGTTATGTGGAGGTAGTAAGGAAGCTGCTGCTTCTGCTGTAGGTTATATGTTTGTATAGAAAAGCCTTCAATTTGATTCGTAGGGAGTTTGCAAGAATGTATGAATGTGATATAATCTTTGTACATGTATGTGTGTGTACCTATGCATGCATGATCTGATTTTGTATGCATCCATGGTTTACAGAATTTGTTGGCTGAGAAACGGGGGGTGTCCATGATGTATTCAATGTCGTTGGTGCTGGTTCTGCAACTGCTGCAGCCTTTGGTCTAATTAGTAATAATTCATACGTTATTAAATGCAACCATTTTTGTACGAGTTCCGTTATAGTTTACCTCTATCATCAACTTCTTTCACAGTTAAAATTGGAACCTTGGAAACAGAACAAGGATAATATATGCTCCTCATCTGTATTTAACTCACAATCAGATGGAAAAGTAACAGTAAACAACATTAATCCACTTCTTAATGAAGATTATCATAATTATTCATCATTCCATTCCATGATGATCCCAAGTTGTTGAAGAACCTGTTGGTGTCTCGGTCGTCAAGAGACAAGAGCTCGGTGTTTGGTTTCAAGTCGACTGCATGTCGGTCTTCACTTGCAGCGTAAGGGAACGCTCTCCTCTGCCAAGTATCCATGAAAGTACCAACATTGCCATCAATGGACATCACATATGGAGAGCAAGTGCCAGACGAATTTGGTGCTAACCCATCACTCATATCCCCAAGTCCACCACCATTCCCCATACATTCATGTTTAGTATTGCTGCCGAGAGTAGCAAGTAAGTTGTTGTCAAGGAGAGAAATGTGCATTTGAGGAAATGAAAGATGAAGATCAGTTGGATTATGGGAATTATTAGATGATGCGGGATTGTTGGATGATTGATCACTTGCTGCTTTGGTTACAACTTTCTTGTTCTTTCTACACCCTCCACCAACGGGGATTTTCCTAAGGGTTCCACCCTTTGTCCAGTACCTCCTACAAGCCTTGCAAAAGTACCGGGGCTGAGAGAGGCTGTAATTGTTGTAATAGCAAAACTTGGTGTGCGTGGACTCACACCTTGGGCACTTGACAGCTTCTTCATGCTGAGTTCTTAGCATCCTCTCTATCAGTGGCCTTGAGCATGTCAGAATATCCCCATCCATTCCAGCCTCCTCATGAATCGTTCCCTAAACATGGAAATTAAACAAGCAAATTAAATTCTTCTAGGGTAAGCAACGTATTTAGTGACGTTATCTTATGTTGACAAATCAGCATCACCGTTAATTTTTTATCGGCAGGTGACCAAAACTGAACAAAAACATAAGTTTAGTGATGATTTTGAAAAAAAAATTGGTGATCAAAACGGATTCATGAGAATAGTTGGGTGACTAAATGTGTAGTTTACCCATTCTTCTAATAACATTGTTTCATATGCATGGTGTCATGCTCATTATACTTTGAATTGAATGAATTAACCATACCTGAAACCAGTACTCGGATGAATCCATAGGAAGAGAAGTGAAACCCTTTAATAAAAATATATATTACCCAACAAAAAACTGAAAACCAAATATGCTTTCTCTTCACTAATTCTTGTCTAAATATGACACCAAACACTATAAAGAAAGCAGAAAAAAGAAATGGTTCGCCAGCTAAAGGGAGGAAGCTGTAAATAAGAAGGAAGTACAAGGCATGAGTTTAGTGTACATATATAGATAAAGAATTGGTATGATCGATCCCTTTCCATCCCTAAGCGTCGGTGGGCTAAAACAAATATATTCTATGGGGTCGACTATGCTGTATGATCTAGGGACACAGGTCCCACTTATTAGATCTTTACCAACACTCAGCTTGAAAATCTAGGACATTGGTCCTCCCGTTGGGAGTTGTTCGATAAAGGAAAAGGGAAGGGCATATTGAAAGTGAACTCCACTTGCGGGTCCAAGCTATGTAGGAGTCACTCCTGGATCCTTTGGACAATTCTAATTTCAATACCTAGCTTGAGGAACACACTATATAATGATTAAAACGAGTATTGTTTTCTTTACTTATCTTAAGTAATTATATTTATAAAATATATGTGAATTATAAATGATTAATTTTTTTAAATAAATATTATTATATAATAATCTCAAATTATTAAAAAAAAACATCGACGAATCATTGTCTTCTTGTGGTTGGGGATGGGATAGTGAACCAGAAGGTGAGAAAAATAAATGTGAATGTATGGAGTTTGGCACTTGGATCAAGATGTCAGTTACTTCTTTCATAGGAAAAGTATATTGTCAAATTAACCATTTGAAAGTGAGAGGTTGTTTGTTTATTTCATAATGATTAAGCGCTGAATGATTTAAATATTGAATGATTCAGAGGTTGTATAAATTAACTTTGAATGTGACATGCTGTTTGATAATAGCTTTGAATCATTTATAATGTACTTATGTGTTGAATCATTAAACACTGTTTTGTTGAATCAATCAACACTGAATCATTCAGATGTACGAAACAAACACGCTGAATACTGAACAGTTCAACATTCAACGCTGAATAATAAACAATTCAATATTCAACGCTGAATAATTTCATTAAAAGACAAGCGCTGAATAATTTCATTAAGAGACAAACAAACGGCCTCTAAGAATTGCTTTGGTTCAGTGTCTATTTACTGTGAAATTAATCATTTTCCTATGACTAAATCTGTACCATCAAGTTGTTTCACCGTTGAAAATCGGGTACCTAGGAAACAGAACAAGGATAACACTGCTTAGGATGAAATCTTTCTGGGTTCATCATTTGATGCGAATGAAGTCAGATGTCAATCCCTTTTGATTAGCGTTGGTATCGTGATATCATAAGAGCCGGGATGAGCACGACAGTCAAACTAAAATCTCTCTTAAGAAAGGACATTCAAAGAAGATATGATCCCGAGATTTTTTACTATAACCACGACATCTTTGAAATTTGGTTTCTAACAAACTAAAATTTGGTTCGAAATATCATTTAGCTAAAATAATTTTCAATGTTATTTTCTTAAAATGTTTTTTATGGATAAATTATATCAGAGATCATCAAATTATACGTAAGCTTCAATTTTATCATTTAACTACAGAAGTTTCTCTTCTTATCATCAATCTAATCAAATTTTTCGTTTTAATCATTGACAGTTAATTTCATACGAGTTCATCCTCTTTTAAAAAAAGAAGTTTATCAATTTAATCTTAATTCTAAAAGAAATTTAACCTGAACCTTCACACATTGTATCACGAATCTCAAGTTTTTTCTCCTGAGGTGTCCTATTGAACCTGGTGCGGGAAAAGAACTTGACCTGAAGGTATGCAACAGAATAGCAGTCTACACGGCTGTTAATAATATAAAGACAAATCGTGAATTATTAGAGATCAATTCGATCAAAGTTCAATCTACTCTTAAAGTGAATGGACTCGACTCAACTTCTTAATAAGCAGAAGTAAATTACTTGATACTCGATTCAAAAAAGTCGTGAGCAACTAAAAAAATAATATATTAATTTTTTTAGATTTTTTAAATTAAATTATTAATATATTAATTTTTTTAGATTTTTAAATTTAATTATTAATATATTAATTTTTATATGTTATTTTTAAAATACAATATAAGATTTTCATATAATTAAAGTTTAAGTTCAAACTAAGTCTGAAAATATTTTGAGTTCAAGTTTTTTAAACTCACAAGTTTTTGAGTCGAGTCAAACTTCAATTTTTATTTCAAATTCGAATCAAACTTGACAATTTTAAACTCGTGAGTTTTCTAATTGAGTCGAAATCGATTGTATATTTCTTAATTTGAATCAAATTTAACAATATTCAAATTCGACTAAAATCGTTTACGGCCTCAATAGGATGCATGTTTTTCATCGTGTGTTATCTGCAATTTAACTGGTTCTCTCTTTTTCAATTATTTTTTTTTGAAAGAGTTTGATTCTGTATATAATAGACGAGTCTAATACAAAATCGGATACAAACATGGACCTCGTTAAAAAGCCTCCCTAAATCTAAATGGAGAAAAAAAGAGAATCCAAGCTCGTATCAGAATTTACACACGACAAGTTATTAACCGCATGCAATATGCAAAAAACGAAGTAATTACAATCCGTCCAAAACTATGGAACAATAGCAGCACGGACCTTGCCTCAGAAATAGCATCACAAGCCCTGCTTCCTCTTACGAAACACCCAACTAATGGGCAACGACACACACCACCCAGCTCCCCAAAACATAGCAAACGATATAGAAAATAAGGCAGAAACGCCAAAGCATTCCGACACCACAGGAGCAGCATCTCCTAACAGCACCAAAACAGCATCTCTTTTTCAATTATAGTTTAACTTTCCAACGCATCCAGGTGTATGACATTATTTTGTACAATATTTGTTGGCATCTCCGCTCATTCTACACATTTAGTACCTAAATTATTATTTTATTCCGTCTTGGTACCTAATTTTTTTTTCAAAATCATTCCTAACATTTAATTTAGATTTTATTTTGGCATTTATCATTAAAAACTTAATGGTGATGTTGATGTGTCATCATAAAACAATGACACATCACCATTGAAAAAATAAAAAATATCACATCAATAATTCTATTATTTTTTCAACGGATACCAAATTAAAACCGAAACTAAATTTCATGTATAATTTTTTAAAAATTAAGTATCAAAACAAAACAACAAAATTAATAGTTTAGGTACTAAACATGTAGCTTACCCTACATTCTTCAAAGCTGACAGATCTAGTATGAAAAATGTTTGGCTGATGATTATGTAGGATCTTCCTCTCTCATATTTAGTGTTTGATTTTTATTTCCCAAACCCTAATTCCCATAAAATTGGACAACGTACAACTAAACTGGGAAGTGATACTAAGGATCACTGCCTTCAAATTATAATGTATGATACAATTCCTCGCTGCCCCCACCCCTCTTCCCAAATCTGTGCATGGCCTTCGGCATAAATCAACAACTTCTGAGTCATCACGACAGAGCCATTGTCAGTTTAGTCCGAGGGGTACAGGGGAGAAATCTTTTAGGAAACCAAGCAAGCAGTAAGCCGAAACCGATACACATGGAAAAGCGTTGTACACAAGTTTGGTACGTAGGGTATTCACCTGTAACAATGAGCAAGCCATCATTTTATGCAGGAACGGGACTCAATCCAGATGACCATTGCACGCCAGCAGCATATTCTCGAGCCCACTGGTCATAATGTATAATCTCCTCTAAGGAAGGAGTGGCCACAAATTCTTCTTGGTGCTTCTCACAAGTTAACTCCACCACCTTGAAAATATCCAAATAGCTGATCCTGAAATCGGGTAATGAAAGCCAGAACTCAGAAACGAAACTGCAAAATGAAAGCCACGCTAACAAGATAACATTGGGATACAAAATACTTACTTTTCATTGATGAACAGTTCCACAGCTTTCTCATTAGCTGCACTAAGAACTCCTGTCATGGTGCCTCCGGCCCTTCCAGCGGCATAGGCAAGACTCATGGACGGGTATTTCACATTGTCAGGAGCCTTAAAAGTTAGTGAACAGAGCCTGTAGCATCCATCAACCAACTTAACCTCATGAGTATGGTGGCAATGCATTTTCAATAAACTTACTTTTTCGACAAACAAAACTTTAAAAGTGAAATTCCGGGTTATTAGCATTATTGTTATTGTTATTGTAAAATGTAAATCGAATGAAAACTAGTCGAATTTTGATAAATTAGTAGTGAAGTAAATTTTGAAAGGAGACAAGCTAGTTACTTGCAAAGATCAAGGCAAGGCCAGGTCATTTCAGAGCAGTAAATTCTTTCTGGCCACGACATAGTGTAGAGAATTGGCAAGTGCATATCCGGCCATCCCAACTGAGCTAACACCGATGAATCCTTAAAAGTAAGAAAATGCAAAAATGACGGATAACGAAAATCGAATTCCAATCTGCACTCTTCGTATTTTGCAATTCAAGGGCACAGCTCCCTCAAAAACTAAAAGGTGAACAACATTGTGGCATCACTGAACAGTGGCCAACAAGATAAAGTTAAGGGTAAAACCTGTGTTTCAACCATTGAATGTATGATAGATTGCTGATGAATTACTATCTCGATATTATCATACTCAGCTCCGAATAGGTAATGAGCTTCAATGACTTCGAGACCCTGTCGAATAGAGAAATCGTTTAGTGCTAGTAATTTAGACAAGGGAAAAACTAATTGATGACGTACTAGATTAAAAAGTATGATGCTTGTTGATAAAACTAAACCTTATTGAAAAGGGTAGCAGAGTCCACAGTAATCTTTTCCCCCATACTCCAGTTTGGATGCTTCAAAGCATCAGCTACTTTAACTTCTTTCAATTTATCAACAGGCCAATCCCTATAAGAAACAAAATGAGCAAATTGTTCAATACAAATTCTTTCTTAGGGACACTAATCCGAGTTATATTACATGTTCTGTAATAAAAACACACTCGAACTTAAAAATGGAAGTTCATGCTTGTGCACACTCAAGCCTAGTTTTAGTATTGTCAACTTCAAATTCTTTTCAGTTGAGGAAAGAAAG